ATATTTTTCGCGTGACTCATGTTCATGTAGAGTAACAACTATCATTGTATATTGAGGTGGTTGAGCTCGATGATTTCGTTAGGACTAGCGGAGTAGCGAATCGCTGTGATGCTTCCTCCTTCGTCTTTGTGAAGCAGGCATTGATTTGTGATATGTTTTATGGTCCTATTCTGTGCGATAACTGTCTGGCATTGTTATCCATATGAAACCATATATTAGATACGAAATAGCGCAACCATCATTTTTCTTATGCTGCCTTTAAGAACTGGCCTTACACTGTTCGCCGGCACTCAGCTGTTGTCGGAATCTATAAACTTTTAAATAACAATTGATTTTGCCAGAAAAAAACATTAACAAGTTATGTGGATAGTGCATGCATGTTTTTCACACAGACTGTATGACGAAGTATGAACAGTTTTTCAAAGTGAGAAAAATGTGCTATGAGGAAGTGCCTGTTGTTGTCGGATGTGTTGTTTTTATTAAGTGTGCTTGCACACCTCTGCCAAAGCTGCATTACCAAAGAGCTAGCCAGCTACATTGTGCTGTGCGACTTCGATCACAGTGATGCTCCTACGAATGCATTCCGTCTTCAGAAGAGTGGCATTGTGGTAATTTTTGTCTGACATTTTACACAGACATTCAATTGTGTGGCTTGACAGTTGTTTCAAATTAGGCCTGTAAAATTCTGACGCCGCGTGTTTTGCAATGAAGCGTGCCAAACAAATGTCGTAACTACATTTTGACGGACGCTTTCTGCAGGCGCGTTTTGACCTATGATGTTTATTTGTGAGAATTTTTTTATGTAAGCCTCTTCCAGCTTCAACGGTGCATGGGTTTGCACTATTAGTATTATGATTTACTGTTCGGGTGATGAATTAGATGTTTGGAGGTAGGATTCTTGGTTCATATTATGGATATGGCGTTGGGGTCGGCTTCATTTTATGGTTAGGGCTATTTATATGGTTAGTAGGGATAGCGGTGGAGTGGAAAGGCTTTCATCCATTGGTGGACAATGGACAGTGATTAGGAAAATGTCACCCTTGTGTGTCTAAAGTTAAGTTTGTATTACGGATTGCATTAGCCCTTTGGAGTTGAGTTTATAAGGTTATGCATAAGGCTATATACAACTTCAATTAAAGCGAAAACATATTCAGGGGAAATGTAACGATGTAAAGCATGTAAAGATCTGCAATACCTCCTTTAGACATCCCGTGGCCTTTGTAGGCGGGCATACACTGTGTGATCCACCTACCCCAGCTCGAAATAAGCTGCTGCGTCCAGCACTAGAAGGAAACATTTAACCAATTCAGTAATTGATAATGAGGTCATTGAGTGACTTGGAGTGCTGTTGTCAAGAGTGGAAAGTCAGCTTGACTGCAATCCTGGGTTTGAATCTAGGTTCCAGCTACATGTGCTTAAACTGGGATTCTCGAGTGCAGCCACTTCATGGATGGTCTCAGACTAATAACAAATAACTGCACAATATTAAATTTGGCTAAATTCCAGCTGCGACAAATTTAATAAAAATAACGGTTGCCCGTCATTATGCAGGTGTAGTGGCATAGAATAGTAGTGTAGCAGCATAGCGCTGGCTGCTGGCAGGGAAGGGGATCTGCGGCTTACGGCAGCCCTGACGTCAGCAGGCCAGGTTACACACCAGAGGGGGGGTCTAGGGAAAAGGTCACAGAAGGGGCACACCAAGAACCCGCTGGTAGGTTCTAGTAAGGGGGCGTGGCCGGGGGCGGAGCCAGTCCATGCTGACAGTATAAGAAGGGCCCCTGTGGGGGACCTCAGAGCTGTTGATTGTAAGTGGGATCCCCGTCGTGATGCTCAAGTCCATCGTCGTCGTTGTCACCATTCTTCTCTTAGCCGCCGCAGTCGTCATCGCTTGATATTGTGCTGTTATACAGTTAGTTTAACACGTAGGCTTTCGCGACCAATGTTATTCATAATCAACGTTTTTGGGTTTAGATCGCGTTATTTATAAATGTGTCGTAACCCTCCACCACCCGACACGGCCAATCAGTAAAAGTGTCACGTTGACAAAGACAAAGAGTTCACTGCTTTAGCCCACCGGTGTGTTGAAGCCACAACATTTACAATTTCATTCAACACACCGGTGGGCTAAAGCAGTGAACTATTTGTCTTTGTCAACGTGACACATTTTTACTGATTGGCCGTGTCGGGTGGTGGAGGGTTACGACACATTTCTAAATAACGCGATCTAAACCCAAAAACGTTGATTATGTTATACATTTGTTGGCTGTATTGGTCAGCGCCATCGATGTAAGGACGGCTAGTGTTGTGTATAGGCTAGGATGTGTGTAGCCTAGGCGACTGTAGGGTATGCGATTGAGATACTAAGTATAATAAAAGTGCCTTCAAGAATTACTGCCTCCGTGTTGAACCACTACACATGAATGAACGCCAATCCCAAGTGCGCCCTCCAATGTGTAAGGATACAAAGGGCATGAAAAAATAAGAATACGTTTTACCCTTTCTGACAATAAAACACGTGCCAAGATGTTCAAACATTAAATAGATACCTTTTGTAAAGGGCACTTGCAGAGTTTTTACAAATTCAGTCAAAATCTTTAGGGCAACCCCTTCTCAGCTCTCTGTTCGCAATGCTCCAAGTTATTTTACAGTTCGATTCTTTGTCTCATAACATGAACAGGGTACCGATAGCGTACCCAGCAGAGATGGGTTGGGGAATACACTTGGGGAGAAAATAAACAATCGGAAGGGTACAGCATTTAAAAATCAGCTGAGTGAACTTAAATTTGTATATTTCCCAGAAGCATATGGACCAAAATCGACGTTTTACACCACCAACATTTGTGGCCTGATAAATTATTTCTACTTTGCTACCTCATAGCATAAAAATGTGTCATGTTTCTTTAAAAAACTATCTTTTACTTCTAACTACATATTCATCATTAAAATGACACCTTCATTCATCATGTGTCATTTTGCTTACTCCAGGGTACTTTGAGGAGGCTCGTCTACAACAATAGATACCCGAGCACCCCACTGCAGGTGAGCCGAGCTGAAGGTCAAATTTAAACCCCAGGGGGCTTTCCTTCGAGGGGACTTGCATAACAGCACCCACAGAAACATTGATAAATACCCACATAACAATAATTATTAAAGTAACTCGCGTGCAAACTTAAATGTCTATATATATTTAGGTTCGGCACTCAGACTTCAAAAGTTGAGACGCTGACGCGATACATTAATAAAATAAGTGTACTCTTTCAGGTTAACATCCTGGAGCAACGTGTGATTGTTTCCTTCGCATTGGTTTCAGCTGAGCCATCATAATGCCGGACGCATGCTGGTAAGGTTGGCCAACGCCAAAAGAACATTGTGTTTCGAAATCTGACCGTTTGAAAACATCTATAAATAAAGTGCAGGTAAAAAAATATGTGGCGTGCAATTATAGACCAGGGACATTTGTAACAAAAATATGGTTCTTTTTAGAGTTTATAGCGACAAAAATAAACACAACTCTGATGGACCAATATTTCAGTTTCCGATCACTTCCCTTCCAAGACATAAAATAAATTAGCATCATAATGCATTATCAGTCACAATCATTTATCTACATTCCCGGCAAAGTCCTAATAATAATTTACATCTCAGAGTAGATTACGTTGGCGATTTGCAACCGCCGTTCTTTGCGACTTCCTCACACCCGCCGTGTCGCACACAATAAGCGAGTGGTACTTGGCATTCCGCTCTGCCGTAACAAAGACAGGAATACACTAATACACCCTCGAAATGTACTGCGTTGGCCAGGCACTATAACATGTTATTGTACTTTTTGGACACGGTACAAATCATGGCAATGTTTGTAAATGTTTACAAAACACGAAAAAAATCACCAGAGCAAAAAATGTTAAATATATGAGGGCATACAGGGGAGTTTAAAAGTTTTGCATAATATCCATGAAATAACCATAATGAGGGACAATAGCCACAAAAATCCTGAGCATCAGCAAAAAGTCACAGGGTAAGGTCCAGCAACTTTCCTGAGCAGAGGGGTTCAGGGCCAGTCCGCCATCCAGCCTCCCAACACGTAAGCTCTACTATCCATCCCCACAAGTTAGCAACTCATGCCACCGCGATGCAAGAAGAAGCGATGGTATCCCAAGTGTCCCCCGTGTTTCGATGCATTGAGTCGGGACAGTGGTTCTCCTTTAGAGACCGGCGCCCACCATAGTGTTGCACACTCGAAATGAAGGACGTCGGCAAGTGCTCCAAATCGAGGGCAAACACATGAATTGCTATAATCTGTAAAATGCAACAGCACGTGTTACACACAGCAATCCTCAACCGAGTCGCCATTAACTATGTAACTGGTGTCCAGGTTAGGTTACTCAATAACCCTGCCAGCCACCTACAGGCCTGACTCAGTATCGCATGCTGGTGTAGACGTTCATTTATGTACTGTACAGCACATAAGAACCTTCACAAAACCACACTTTACTCCATTGCTGCTGCACGAGGAAATAATTAAAAGAGTGGTCCATTCCTAATGTGCCAGAATAGTAGTGTGAACTTCTCACCGCCAGGGCTCAGCAGCCGTCAAGGGAGGGTGAATGCCACCAAACGCTCGCTTGGGCACTCGCTGCATTAGGAAGCCACTGAAGCTACGCAATTTGAAATCTCGATTGTAAAACTAATTTCTTTAGAACAGTTTTTTGTGTTTAATTCGTTGTCCTTCCCCCTGCACCTCCGATTAACACGGTTGACTTCATAGGGTGCGAACTAAGTTCAACATACGTACCTATAGAATGCAACATTTTTTGCCGACAGTCCTGAAAAAGGCAGTGCAGTGCCCAATGGTGTCCTTCTCAGAAGCACGCATCACAGGTCTATACCAGAAGCTCGCTGGCAGGTGCATTGGGCGGTTTCACCCCCAGCCGACACACGCACCCAGACGCAGATCCGTGTTTTTGTCAAACGCCGGTAGAAACGAAGTGACGGAGAAATACGAATGTTGAACGGTTTATTTGTGCAGGATAATAGGAAGCAGGCGAACATATGTTGGACATCCCTTTTCTTGCAAAAAAAATCACGCTGCATAATAAAAACGAACTCCATTTCAACAGGACATGTTCCGCATAAGTGTTCAGAATTACTGATAAGTTAAAAGAGTAATTACTAATAAGTGTAGTAGCGATAAAATGGCACTGGAGAGAGTGCAGCGGTTGCATCCAGGAACTTGTATTGAAATGTAAAATGATCATCATGGCCAATGCTGTCGATGCCTTCAAATACCGCCACCGTTTCCATGCATCCACCTGGTTCAACATCTGGTTCACAGTCAGTTGACGACACTCAAAAGGTGTATTTTTTGTACATAAGATCTTTGCAAAATAGAGGGGACTGGTTGTCTCAGGAGTCCCGCCCAACACCGCTGGACATCTCGCTTAAAACCCCCACTTAATTATTTTGTGATTAAGCCGAATTCTCAATTAAAGCGAATTTATTATCTCAGCCTGGTCACCAATCACTGCATATAAAAACCGCCACATTTTTTATTAATTTGGCTAATATTCCAGCTTTGATGACTAGAAATATGTATTTTTATGCTTTACATAAAGTCTCCTTATACGTGTTGGAAAGTGTTCTCTGATATATTTCCCATGAATTGAAAAGCAACCATTCTTTACACACGCAACTAGATGTAAGCCTTAAGAAGCAATGTTGTTTAATTAATATAGGTATCTTCACACCTCTGGAAGTTAACATATATCTCAATGATACCTGAATACACTGCGAGCTCAATAAATGGTTGCAACTAACCAGCTCTACTCTATTTGAATCAAAGTTTAAATAAATGGCAAATTAAAGTGAGACTTAAGTGATTTATGGTTAGAAAAGTACGTGGTGCAGCTCATAATTTAAGCAAAAAGAGCGCACGGCCTGTTCAGTCATTCATTCATCAGTGGTGGAGATTGGGAGATACCGAATCCTGGTGGTGCGAAGCCGGTAGATTTTCACCGTGGCCACGCAGACGGTACTGATGGCCAGGGTGGCAGCCAAGGCATACACCATGCCCGTCCAGCCGGGCATTCCAGAGCTGCCTTGCTCCAGAGAGGCTGTGGCAGGTTGTCCAAAACGCAATGCAAAGTGGATTTATGAAATGCACAACAATGCAATCACATCTGCAGACGCTGTAGACAAACGGTGTACTTATGCATCAAGTATAGAATGCAGTCGTGGGCCGAGGACAAAATTGTGTTTGTGTCTGGACCTGAACAGGGGCAGAGAATCGATAGCACTGGCAGCTGGGGTAAAGTGAGTTTCAGAGCATGGGCGTAGCAGAGCAGAATGAGTGACCTCCCACCTAGGGTTGGTTGACTGGGTGCTTCAGCAGAAATAATAATGAAGGTGATATACACGGTCCACTTTCTGCCCCCCCCCCTTCTCTTCCCCCCCCCCTGCAGCCGACCCCTCCAGTGCTGCTGCGGTGGCCCACTTTACTCCAGTGACCCGGTTGCTACTGCGGGGTGCACTTTCTGCCCCGCCTCCTTCCCCCCCCCCCCCCCTTCTCTCCCCCCCCCCCCCCCCCCACTGCCGAGGCCTATATAACCTCTTGCCACGGCAGATCTCTCGCCTACTTCAGCAGTTTTTTTTATTGCTGTGGTTGTCCCGCCTGATGACGATTGCTTGTGTTGCGATCATAACATCGTGATCTATAATTTTTTGTACCTACGTGACTTTACCAAAAGACCCAAAGAGTATGGATTCCTGTAGTCATGAAAGCTTCAAATCAAAATTGATATACACGGTTAAGTCCCGCATTTTAACCTTTTTTAAATAATTTTTGCTGTATTCTTTTTTGCTGTTGATGCAATTGCGCCTTGGATGGCTGATCTATAACAGACAGGCGCCAAAGATTAATTACAAATAAAACGTACTAGACTCGGCGATATTGGCAACAAGACAGGCAGCAATAGCAGCAACAACAAAACGCATCGGCAGAAACATTACCAGTAACAGAAGCAGCGGTGGCAGGAACAGCCTCAGATGTTGCATCAGCAGCAGTAAGAGCGGCAGGAGGAGAAGGAACAGCGATCGTAGCAACAGAAGCAGCAGTAGAGCAGAAGTGAAACGCTAATGATACCCATTTGATCATCATGTATGTGAGGCTGTGTCCACTTATATTTCATCAGTTTTTGTTGATGGACCACAGACAAGTGAAAACAGTTTTTTTATCTATGAAACAGTCGTGATGTATATCAGGCTCTCCGATCTTACATTTACATGCAAATTCCATCTCTAGCCCCGCCCACTTACCCTTGGGGGTTGCATCCATCTCTTATTGCAGTAGCTCTCCCGCTATATTTCTCCTGCCTCAGCAGTTCACCTGCTGTATTTTTTTTCACCTGAAGACGATTGCTTGTGTTGTGATCGAAACGTCGTGATCTTGTTTCTATCTTTCTATGTGACTTTACCGAAAGACCCAAAGAGTAGTCATGAAGAAATAAGGAAAAGAACATGGATTAGGATGCTGTTATTAAAGCAAAATGAATTAAATGTAATGAGCAGGCCATGCAATGGTAACACCGGACGTGAGATGGGCAACTTTAACGACGGGGTGGATACCAAGAGAGAGAAAAAGAGCAAAATAAGCAGAGGACAGCAGCCGAAGAGAGAGTGAGATGCAATCAAATAATTCGGAGGACACTACTGAACAAGAGGAAATAGCAAGGCATGGAAGCAATTGAGGGAAGCCTCATTCCCCAGTGGGGGAAAGGTCCAAGCCGAGAACAACACACAGAGTGCCGAAATCTGTGCGAACACATTTGGAGGACGAGGCCGGGGAGAAGCGACACTCACCGTCCCGTTGTTTGCGCAGCACGAGCACGGGGCCCTGGGACAGGTCGATGGGTTTCTCCGCTGCCGCGTGCGGCTCCTCTCCAACGTCGCGTGCCGTCCGGTTGCCGCGCTCAATGCAGCCTTGTCGGCAGCGCGAGTGCCAGTCCAAGGCATTGCACACGTGAACAGTGCACTCCAGATAGACCTGCATGATCCAGGCTAAGCATTACTTGGTGTGTGTGTGTGTGCGCGTGTGCATATAGGCAGCGGTCAGCGTGCTACGTTACGAACCCGGCCACCCGAGTTCGATTCCCGCTCACGATCACCACCAGTGACGCTTATCTGAATCACTCCTAAGGCCTCCTCTAGGTCGACTCGGCCTCTATGTAAACTCCTTTGTCAAGGCTCTCTCCTCCTCTCACCCAGCTTAAAATACGCTGCCAAGCTTAGCAGTGTTCATTAAGACGCGGTCTTTCCCACAGCTCTTTTTCTTCACCTGAGGACGGCTGCTTGCGTTGTGGCCGAAACGTCGTGAGAATTTCATTTTATTAGGTTTTATTTTAATTATTTTATTATTTCCCCCCTACGTGACTTTACCGAAAGAACCAAGAAGATGAATCCCTGCAGTCACGAAAGCTTTAAATCGAAAAATATATCGGGGATCTTTGTCTTTCTGCTGCAAGCAATCGTGATCCAACAACAGTGGAGGGCAGAGGTGCATTGCTCACAACAACTAGCGCAGTGATGGGCGGATAAACTGTACAAGGTGGTGCTTCTGCCAGTCATCTCATTCAGTGAACCCATGCCACCTGGGTCTGTCCCATGACCTCTTCGTGATATGCACTCCAACAAGAGGAGGACCAAATCACCCGGAACGCGCCTGATGTTGTCAGATCTCGGAAGCAAATCAGAATTGAGCCTGGCCAGTGGCTGGATGGGCGACCACCCTGCACTCAGCAGGCTGCTGCGGGCTGTGTTTGAGCACCAGAGGACAGTGCAGCCAAATGTATTCTTGTGCAAGTTTCCCCGACTTCAGTTTGTGAAATTTCGTGTACTTGTGGCGAACTTATTTATACCCAAACACTCTATATGCGGTTTTAATTCACCCACATGTGTCTATGCGATAAGACAGGAGACAACATTGTGTGGACTGTATGTGCTACTCAGCAGAAAGCTGTCTCCTCGTGCACTGCATTGTAGTCAGGGTGACGGTAGTTTATGCTTTGCACTTTCACTTGATTTGTAACACATCCACTATCGCATAAATCGAGGGAAACATGTACTGTATTATGTTCCCAGAGCTACGCTTCCACGACTTCCAATTCCAGAACTGACCAGTGTGGTGAAGTATGTTCCAATAACTTCCACGACCTGTATGGCATGGTGAGGCCCTCATCCAGCAGCGGGTTGACAAATGGGCCCTACGAAAACTACCACACGAAACACGTTGAAACGGAAATGTGTTTCGCGTGTCTCCTGTGGACTCTCCTAGTCCACAGGCACCGCGGTGGTGAGATGTTAACTACCTCGCCTGGTATACAGGAGGTCGTGGGTTCGATCCCTACCCAGACACCTGCTGTATAGTTCGAGTTTGCGGGTCCTCCAGTTTTTCCTTCCACACTTAGAATTAACATATGTTTAAAATATTTGGCTGCTAATAATTTCCATATGACAAGCCACATTGTTTAGCTATCATTTGTGGCTAAATCGCTTCTGAAAAAGAGCTACATAGCTCAGTGGGCCTTACCCGGTAATATAAAAAATAGTTTATAGTTTTAGTGGCCGCAGCTGCATTCAATGCAATCGTTGAAAGAAATAGAGCACCTGTGCACCGTTGCTCATCTCTAAGCTCTGGAAGCTGAAGTGCTTCTTCGTGTCATCGCTGCTCGGGTAGATGTTGTAAGAATGGTCCTCAGGGCACCTACAGCCAACAGAGGGAATGCATGCAATCCTGGACTCTCCAATTGACAACAGAATTTATTAATCTCTTTACGAGAATAGTGTGCAAATCATTGACTTCAGTTTTATATACACACTAGCAGAAGTACCCGGCGTTGCCCGGGTGAAAAATATATTTCTTAATAACTTTACATATATACACAGATGGGCTGCTACCCCTGCCCCCCCCCCCCCAGCCACAATCTCCTCGGCCGCTGTGCAGTAATATGTACGGCCTATAGTGTGGTGGGGTGTCGAGGCCTAGTACCGTGCAGAGCCTCCGGCCTCGCCTAAATTGCCCACCCGGCTGAGGCTGGGTACCGGGGCCGTTACCCCCCCCCCCCCCCCCGCGCGCTACAATAATACTGTGTAATCGCTATAATTTTATTATCTACCGACCCTATAATAGTAATTGCACACATTGGGGTGGGGGGGGGGGGGGAGTGAAGAGGACGTGAAACTTTGATGAATTTACCTCAGAGTCGCGTGTTAATGCGTGCGCATATTTTTAACGAGGATTAAAAATGGCGTCCACCCCGCAGTGAATGCGTCGCTACCCATTGCCAGGGGCAACCGCTGTGGAAAACCAAACGGACCAATCGCGTCTCGCAAATCCCTCACATTTCGTCCAATGAAACTGCGTATGGTCCGGCGACACACAGACAGACAGACACACACACAGACAGACAGACAGATTTGCGATTTTACATATATAGATACACGTATACACACTCTACGAAGAAAATGAATGCTCACACACGTTCTTCGATGCATGTATCATGGGATTAAGACAATTTCAGATGAGGAGGTCTTGTTACACGCCTATAAGACAGTTGAATAGATGTCTTGTTACACCCCTATAAGACAATTTCAGTTTAATCGATGTCTTGTGACACTCCTATAAGACAACTTCAGTTGAATAGTTGTCTTGTGACACTCCTATAAGACAACTTTAGTTGAATAGATGTCTTGTGACACGCCTATAAGACAGTTGAATAGATGTCTTGTGACACGCCTATAAGACAGTTTCAGTTGAATAGATGTCTTGTGACACTCCTATAAGACAATAGATGTCTTGTGACATGCCTATAAGACAATAAGCCATGTTGTGTACCCTTCTCGGAGCAAGATGTAGGAGTCACTCTCCGAGGCCCCTGGGTAGGGGGAGGCCTTGCACGTGACCAGCATCAGCTCTTGGTCATGTTCGTAGGAGTTGAGCAGCACCTGGTGAAACAACAGACAGATCGAAGCTCCAATCATTTGTCCAGAACCAGTTTGTGTCAACGTATTACTAACAACATCATACTGGATATCTGTTAAAAAGAGCTTCATAGCTAAATCGGATTCCTCCAGTCTAAAAAAAATAAAGATTCTGATTCTAACATCAGCACTTGGCCTCCCTTTCACCAACTCACACTGATCAGTTATGGCGAAGTATGGCCAAACCTGCATGCAAATTGACAATGGACTGTAATATTTTCCACAGAGCAAACTATATGAAACAAACGATTCTCCATACATCCATCACATATATAAAGTTGGTGGGATGGGGGAGGCAAGGAGGATAGACTTTATTTACCCATATTGCCTATTCGACTTTAAAACCCAGTTCAACAAATTGCTTATTCGATGGTACTGTAATAATGGTTAAAACAATAGCTGATAGCCGGATATAATTGTTTATTATTGTTTATTGCAGACCAAAAGCAATGAGAGTTTATTCAAAGTTAAAATGTTAAATGTAAGCACTTGCATAATATCTGGAGACTCGAGCATACATTGTGCAACAAAATTAAACACATTGTATTTTATGATGCTGCATTGACAGTGGTGCATAAGTTCAACTCACAAATAAAGTCACATTAATCAATAACACTGCTTTAAAAGGAAACAATGTTTAATGAATAGTTGAATGCTTCGGGCAATGGCACACATAGGCCTAAAAGATAGTGCGACAAAGTTGCCCCGCTTACGTCCAACTTCAGAGATGAGGATTGCAGATTTCCAAAACGCCACCTACCATGCGATTTGTGTTTTTTTGAGAGCACAGTCCTCACCTCCACATAGATTGTATCTCCGAGCTCCACTGAGAATGGGTACGAAGAGATGGGATGGTCAAAATGCCAGTTCGTGTAGAGCTTCATACTCAGTTCAAAATGGGCCGTGCTGTACTGGTCGTGAACCCTGCCATGAGAACACAGGGATGTTCAGAGGCTCTCTTACAAAAAAATAAATGTAAGCGGATCTAATGATTCGCCCTCCCAAGTCAGGGTGGCGATTTTATTCAAGAAAATATTATTTTTTATGTTGCGGTGAACGTAGCGGTCTCTAGTGGCTGGAGGCTTAACGCGGCGTGCATTGCAACTTACACGGATGAATCAAAATAACATATTTGTACTAAGACATGTATCTCGAGCTTAAAGAATAAATATTAAGAATGTTGATGCCCTTCATACCCTGATTTGTAGATACAGAAAGATAACACGCCATCAGCAAGTCATTCTAATGGATACCTTGTACAGTGCTGCTCCTTAATTTGAGAGCCAAGTCACAGCTGGAAGTGTTACGGTGTGGTTTATGATAACATTTAGGTTTAGTTTTGAATTTTGGAAAAGCTTGTTCTATTGGTTAGGAGTTAAGATTGGGCTAAGACAAATACAAATGAATAAGCAGGGTTGAGCCTGGATAGTGCTTGGATGTTGTTATTATCCTGTTATAAGAACGATAGTTTTTATTTGCCAAGCTGTCTAAATACTAATTACACTTTATTTCACCAGAATAACCACCTTAAGATTCGCATCTCATTTCCAGGGAGGTCCTGGCAAGATGGAAACAATGAATTAGTTCCAAATTGAATGTATCACTCCCTGTGGGCTTCAACAAACAGTCTCTGCCACAGGAACGTGGAATGTCCAATCATTATGTTAGGGCCACCAACTGAGATGAGCGCCACCCATTGTCAATTTGAATTTGGGGAACACACTTGGACAATAGGGGTGTTTGTTCTGATTGAGTTAGGCTGAGGGGCAGAGTTTGAGTCAGAGCATTCGATGGGAACTATTGCTGTTTTCATGACAGTATCCCTGCATATGGGTGACTTCTTGGTGCTGCAAAAAAAAACATTGCTGTACACTACGTCTGCATCTTTTCTTTCCACAGACTTTTTATTTGATGGACAAGAGGCTTTTTTGTTCATCTACCAAGCATGCCAAGTGGGGGGAGATAACCTTCCTCCTCCTCGTCGTGTCCCAGCGTTACTGCTGTCACCTTGGAGCAAAGCTGGCCACGACCTTTCCCTGGTTGCCGACGTAGCAGTGCAAGGGGATGCGCAGCTTCTTGAACTTCGTCCCTGGTATGAAGCCGTACGCCGTGTTCGTGTACACAACGGTGTCGCCGATTGTCTGTTGGGGAAAAGCGAGACGGAAGCAATGCGGTGCACCCACTGTTGTGGTTACAGAACTTGCACCACAAACGGAGGGTTGCGAGTTCACTATTTTCGGGCGGGGGTAGAAGTGAGTCTGTGTGGTTTGGTCAACAGTGGTCATTTTAAATACATATTTGTTTTTACCATGAGAATGAGGATGGTTTTTCACTGGGCAAGGGCTTCCAACAGATGACCACAGTTGGTAACTTATTTCAGCAAAATGTGTCATGGGGTGGAAATATTTCCTCCAGAGCTCCCTTTAATGGAAAAATTTGACATCTTTATCGTGATGATCTTGTCAGGAAATGAAATATAATACTATAAACCCATCTCAGTCTCTTCAATAAGTCTCTTACCCAACATCATCGTAGGCATTATTTAAACAGAACATTACAACTGCCACTAAAAAGTATTTTAACATTGTAACCATGCACAGGTCTAACAGAAAATCCTAGAAACGCATGCAAATATTCATTAACATTATAAACCACACAGATAAATACATTTCACTCAAGACAGTGATACAACTAGGTTTAGTGTTCATCTTCTTCAATAATAGGTGTTACAAATATTTTACAATTGGGTGTGACTTTGATTAAAAACAAAAAAATCTCGATCAGTGAAATTGCGGACAATCAGGATCCATTTTAAATTGAAAGGCATGCCAATCTATTTTCCATATTTCCACGTTGATATTTCAATGCCAGCAAATTTATACATGGAGCGCATTGTTTTTGTTATGTTCGGTGAAATGGAGTTAACCTCCATCCTGAAAGGACTTTCCTTCTGCAATAATCCATAATGCATCCAGTTCCGATAGTCACAAAGTGACAAATGATGTACGTGCTTCATAATGGTCATTATGATCCTCCCAAGCTACTCAGCCACTTCGGACTCAATTTTGATTAACGTTGACCATGATTACAGACCACTTGTGCTTTTTACAATACCAACAGGTAAACCCAAATATTTATTTATCAATTTCATTTTCACCTAATCATATGACGAGGTATGTACAGCTGCAGCTACCACCGCCTCCTATTAAACCCACAATAAAATTTGAACTTAATGTCCCACACAAGAGGGGTGAAGGTCCATGACATCATGTCTTTTGTGAGTGAGATATTGGCTCTACAGCCCCAATGGGTGGTGGACGATAAAGTCCCATGTCCTTAGTCTTGGCTCCCAGGTACGAGTGTGAATGGGTTGCCATGGTAATGTTCGAATTGGTTGCCAAGCTACCTGTGTGTATGAGTAGGGATCTGGGTCCGGGCAATGAATACTGTACCTGGCTCGTGGTGCCACAGGCCTGGAGGTGGGTTTGCAGGACCACGTAGTGTCCGGTGGAGTATCCCCGGCACGAGGGGTCCTCCAGGTGGACATCGTAATTTGAGAGGCCGAGCGAGTTCACTTTACTCTGCGGGATCTTAAACTCTATGTATTCCGAAGTGCAGTTCACTTGCAGTGATGCTCCATCTAACACATTTGTACAGATTAATAAGAGCACGCGGCTTTATCGAGGCACAAATAAAATATCTCACCCTCAACACCATTACCACCCCAGAGACTCGATGTAGGGAGCCTTTCATGCAGCAGTTGATTGATAAAGGGCAGTAACTACCTTTGTGCTCGTATAAAAATGGCAACTCAAATGCCAAAATGTGGGAACGCACAATATAAATATATCACTTGCTTACGTTGCATTGACAGTGGTGCACAAGCAATGACTCTTATTCATCACGTAGCAATAACAAATATTAATTACCTGGGCTTGGTGTCGACCGTGAATAATCTGGGAATCAAACAAAAATATCAGACATGTTAGTGATTGAAAGGCAACGGGAAGATACTGTACATTTGATTTAAAAAGCCTTCTGCCACTTTCTGCAGAGTTTCGTTAAAGCTCATGTATACTTAAAAGTTCATATTATAGACTGACAACCTAAGAAAAGATGATCAATTTGCCGCGTGTGTTGTTTATTATATATACAATCTCAAAACCGTCGTCATAAACCATTTTAATCATTAATAGTTTTCACAACATTGACCTCCAGTTTCTTAAGGTTGAGAGAGACCAAGAAACCCAAGGATGTTAATAACTCATAACACGTATACTGAATGCATTCTTGCAAGCCCGCAGGTAAAGTCTGCTTACCATCGTATTGGCAGATGTCGCCCCAATAACCTGCGTAGCAGTAGCAATGGAAGTTTTCAGGATGCCAAGACCCGTAATCCACGCAGGTCCCACCGTTGAGGCACGGGTTCGGTTGGCACTGATCTGTAGAAAGTATGTTTTTAAAACGAATTTAAACCGTCTGTATGCTAATATTGGGTGGTGAATGTCTACACACGCCTGCAATTCACTATTGTGGAGGCAAGATTGGTGGATGTTGTGAAACTCCCTTCCCGTGGGCGTCGAGGTGCTCTACCCCCTGGCTCGCTAGAAGGCAACGCAGTGTGGCGGCTGTTGACCCTCGCACGCGTGGATTTTCTCTGGGTGCTCCTATTTTCTCCCAATTGTATGAGCACAAAAAAACAATTGGTTGAAAACATCTTAAAATAAAAACCAAATGTAGCAGTACTTTCCTGAACAAGAGTGTGGCTTTCCATTGTGGTGAAGTAACTCCCAGGGCAGAGAGAATGTGAGGAGGCCTTCACCGAGCAGTACTCGTTCTAAATGGTAACTCATAAGCTAACACGTGCGCATGCACAAAACACATACATCTCACCTGGGCTCGGTGTCGACAATGCATATTCTGGGAATAAAAAAAAAAATCACACACGTGATCAGTAATGGAAAGGCAACGGGAAGATAACCAGGTGGCCTATTAGCCAGCACGTTACAGATGTGGTTGTTGGATCACGCAGACGTCATCATGCATGCGAGACAATCAATCTACAGTAATGATTATTCGGCAAGATTTCCCAAACTCCACTCCCCCAGTGTGTGTGTGCACGTATTTACACATGCCGCAGATGGCGTTAGTTGCTAAGTGCATCACGTGGAACTTGTTTAAAAATAATTGAACGCGTGCAGCGTAGAACGAGTTCATTTGTATTTGAATGGAGAGTAAATTAGTGAACTCAGAAAGACGTAGTGTGGTGGGTCGCGAGGACTGCAGTTTGAGAAACCCTGCTATACGGTAATACAATCAGGAGGCTGCCTGTCTATACCAATACATTTTGAAAAGGACTGAGCTTTGTCCAGGTGCTGTTGTCCTCCCACAACACAAAGGCGAACTTGTAAGTAATATGAAGAAAGGTTTTTACTTTTTACGTCATAGTATTTAAACCTGTGGAAGCTTTATTGTTTAAGGCTCACCAGGCACACTACATAAGGCCAGGACAAACTGATTTGACCGAGCAGAGTGTGACTGAGGTTGTAGATCCTCATAGTTAACTGCATCTATTATTTCATAAATATAACCCAGTGAGTGGATGAATCAATCTGAGGGTTTGGCATGCCCGGATACTTAGGCAGTGTGTCATTGGTTAATGTCAGCTCCAGGTAATAGTTAAGGCAGCCAAACTGGCAAGCTTGAACTGCACGGAGCAAGCCCAGAGAGAGAAGTCCATACTGCAGCTGGAGTCCACAACTGCAGCTGGAGTCCACTTGAGCCTGATTAAGAGTAGCAAACCGTTTATAATATCTTCATATTCAAATGAACAGATGTGTGATACTGAGGCACAAATAATCTGAACCTATAATCCAAGACACAACAAACAAGGTCAATATCTGGCGCCTTTAAAAGTATATTCAACTCTTGATCAAAATAGAGGGGCCATGTAATTATTAGTCCTTCTCGCAAACAGAGGAAAGAACTAAGATTATCAATGCATTATGCACATATGCAGTCTGAATACTTCTTAAGGCTTGAGTTCCCAATCATATAAGCTCTCCCAGTACCCACACTGTAACATTAACCTGGAAATAAGCTCAGGTCTTGCCTGTCAATCAATAATGTAAGAGTCACTATTGTCTAATTGTGAAATATATCATCAACACTCAGCTCCTTCATCGTTTGACTGCTTTGTCTTCGACATTATTTCTTCTCTTTATGACTTATTATTTCCACTCACAATATGATACATTCCTCAAATTCCAAGCTAAAAGTGACAGAATTAGTGGCCAAATTCAAATAAACTTCGCTATCAATCACAGCTGATTTGAGTGACAAAAACCTGATCACTTAAACTAAAAAACCCAGCCAATGATAATATTAGTTACTAGGCTTTTCCAGTATGGAATGACCTAATCAAGATATGGCTGGATACAGGGTGTACACTGAAGAATGTCATTCCAAGTACTGTGTGATAGAGAAATGCACAAACACATGTTTAACAAGATTTAAAGTTTGTTTTCCTGTTCTGTATTTTCTACATGAAGTGGTGTACATTGATATCCAGGCAGGCATTAACATGCGTCACTGCCAGAGTTTGCATTCTGAAAATTCATATAATTGTTCTCATTATTTTCCAAGAGTTCAATTACTCAAACCGATTCCACATTTGACATCCATTCATGAACAAATTGGTCTCACTGGATCCCTTTTCCCAAGTAAAAACCATACGACCTCACCGTAGTGGTCACAGTAGGGTCCAGTCCAGCCGGGAGGGCAGTAGCAATAATAGCCGTTGTTGTAGTGCCATTGCCATTGTGGGTGCCAATGCCAGTGCCAATCCAATTCCCAGCCCGATTCCCAGCCAGAGTGCCAGTACGGGTGCCAGTGATTCGCACAGATCCCTCCATTCGAACATGTGAACGAGTTGCATACGTCTGCAAGAAAAGATCCTGTTATTCATTTTTGGAATCATAAAACGCCTTCCTTGTTTCACCACCTCCATGTTAATGTTTCGCATACAGTTTTCTCCTTAACTTGCACAATGTCCTGCAATGCATGGCATATAGATCACACGATCAGTAAGATTGTTTCAAACCAACAATCACACACCAGAAAATATTGGAGATACATCTTTTCTATATCCTTGGGTAGGTTCTTCACCAGGCAATGCTATCAATATAATAAGAAGATACGAACACAAATACAAGGTTAACAATTTAGTTGTAGTTTACAAAAGAGGAAACTGTGCAATTTCTAAATACTGTAGAGTTGATCATTAATTATCCTGTGCACAATTATCCGGCTTCCAACAGGCTTGATTTCATTGCCAAAATTATATACAGGTCATTATACACTACATAGATACAACTTAAACAATGAAAACATTGCACATATATACATTTTCATTACTAATAACTACAGAGATAAAAACATAAAATACAGTGCGATCCGGCGAAAGTTGTGTATAATTCGGCGTTCGCTGGTCTGAAGACTTCATCAACGATCGTCAAACAAATGTTGTTGAAACAAGAGCGTAGTATGTACAGCACCCCATGCACTCTGCAATATTGGAGTCGTTAAATACGGTAAAGTAAAAACGGTAACTTTTTGAAAGTAGGATATTTATTGTGGTCTATGTTTAACACGTAGGCTTTCGCGACAAATATCATCCATAATATAGGTTTTATGGGTTAACAATGCGCGAGCATCTATCGAAATTGAGAGAAATAAAAATAATTTTAACCGTTCGGATAGCTACAGGCTTAGTGCTGCTTGGAAGCGAATCATCAAATAATACATTGCTGATATGCATGCAGGTCACCATACATAAATGTGGATTACCTGTACACAGACAATAACAGGTACTGCTATTTTATTGCACGCAAATTACAGGAGGTACAAGAACAATGTGCATGCATAATGTTCATTCATAATGTACGTTGATTACCATATGAATAACCCAACCGGCAATTGCTAACCATTGTCATTTATGAATTAATTAATCTCCCCCCCCCCTATGCACAAGAAGGGCTCATAAGTGACGTAATCACATCTTTCCCTCTAAGTGATGAAACAACAGGATTTCTCCACAAATCTGGCTGTCGCTTTGTGAAGCTAGTTGTAATTACTGGCGCAACGTCGTAATCAGATTGTAAATGTTGTGGATTTTCTCTCCAACATACCGGTGTGTTGTACTAGTAATGAATTGGCATGTTTTGTTTATGTGACAAACCTTACTAATTGGCTGTGTTGGGTGGTGGTGGGTTTAATGACACATTTATATTTACGCGACCTAACCCAAAAAAACTATATTATGGATGTTCACTCATGCAAATTTCAATAGTAAACAAATGTAAAACACAAAAAAAGACAACACCTTAAAACATGTTATGCAGGCATATGAAAAAATAAGGTATTTTAAATAATGTGATTATCCGGCGTTTAAAAAAAATCCTGGCGCATCCTTTCCCCCGAAGCCGCCAGATAATCGACGGTGTACAGATGTAGTGACATCGCGGGATGTCAACGTGCAGCAGAGGTCGCAACCGGGTACCCGATACCCGTACCCTACCCGATACGGGTACGGGTACCCGTTTGCGACCCTGGTGCGGCCGGGTACGGGTACGGGTGGACCGTGAGTCACTGGTGAGTAACCATTTGTCACTCATTTCCCAACGTCTTGTCTCTTCTCACAATTCAAGTTCCTAGAATCAACCCACCCGCGCCTGCAACATGGCTTCATCCCAGAGGTCGCAATCAGGTACTCGATACCCGTACCCTACCTGTACCCGGCCGGGTACGGGTAGGGTACGGGTATCGGGTACCCGTTTGCGAGCCTGGTGCGGCCGGGTATGGGTACGGGTAAGGAATCAAAACCCGTTTGCGACCTCTGACGTGCAGTGCCGGCCCTAGAGAGGCACGGCGTGCGGTGTAACAACATCGTGGATACCACAGTGGTGTGGGTGTAGTACCAACCCTAGAGAGGCCCGGTGAGCGCTCATTGATGGCGCTGGATGGTACCACGCTTGGCGTGCAGTGCCAACCCTACAGGACAGGGTGTTTGAGTGCCGGCCGAAGGGTGAGGTTACTAAAGGCCATGGCACTCTGGTTGACCCGGGAGGACACGTAACCAGTTAAGTCTACAAAGGGGCCCCAAGTGGGGGCTAGGGGTGGTCACGTGGTTGGGTTCCCAATCCTTCCTGAGGATTCTGGAAGGTGGTCGTGGCCAAGGGCAGAGCCAGCCACGCCGCAGAGAATATAATCCAGGTCCCGAGAGGGACCAGGGTTGTTGTTCATCCTGGAATAAACCTTCACCTACCTTCTCTATTCAACGAGTTTTCAACACGTGGACCTGGACCCAAGCTGTTGGTCCCGGTCCGTAGTAGCAGTTACATTGTAATTAGTATAGTTAGCCTGGTGGTCACCAACATAGGTTGCTATTCTGTTAAGGGGAAAGTTACCCCGTGTGTTGGAGTTGAATAAATGTGTTGCCTCCAAGTCTATGTCTGCAACTCAGTTGAACTCACTACACATATATTGCACTGGCATCTACAGCGTTGAACTTGCATGTAGGCGGCTCGTCTGTATTGGTCGTTTGACTGTTGACTAGAGGCAACAACATCATCCGGCAGCACCCTGAGCGACCAAGCAGCCTTTTCAATGGACAGCACTGCTTGCTCCTGATGGAGAGAGGCCGAGAAAAGGTGGCCTAAACAAAGCTTGCCTCAACTCACCCGGTTGGCTTACTGCAGCCAACGGGCATCTCTTTACGTTGTCAGAAAGAAAGAAAGAAACCAAACTTCTCAAAATTTGAATGCTGGAACGTTGGCACAACGATAGACTCAGATAAAAACAACCGACGACAAAGATGCTCGGCTCTCGTGACAAGGGAGCTTGTGAAACTTGACATTGACATCGCAGCACACAGCAAAGTTGGCTTCGCAGAGCAGAGATCCCTGACTGAGCACGTGATGAGCTACACCCGGTTCTGGTCAGGGAAAGCCAACAAGGAGAGACGCCTTTCAGGCATTGGCCTCATGATGAAGAACACCACCGCTGGAAAGCGCTTGAGCCTTTCAATTGGCCTGATGTCTCTACGGCTACCCACCCAGGGTAACCAATTTGACACCATAATCAGTAAAATTTGATTTGGAGCTTTTGTTACTGCAGGAATTACTCTTCAGTTTTTTCAGTAAAGTCACATAGAATGAGAACATAATCATCAGTGTTTATGCACCAACCTTACAGGCTGATCAAGATGTAAAGGAATAATTTCATCATGACCTCAGAACTCTTCTCCGGGAGGTTGACCACAAAGACAAGCTTCTTGTGATGGGAGACTTCAATGCAAGAGTCGGTCAGAACCATGACCTCTGGAGGGGAGCCATTGGAAAGCATGGGCTTGGCAACTGCTACTACAATGGTCGTATGCTACTGGAGCTCTGTGCCGAACACAACATTTGCATAACAAACATATTGTTCAAAAAAAATCCAGATATAACCCCACGTGGAGACACCCATGCTCCAAGTATTGGCATCTACTGGATTACATCCTTGTCTGCCAAGAGGATGCAAGGAACATACTACACACCAGAGTTATGCCCAGCACTGACTGCTATACAGACCACAGATTGGTCAGAGCAAAAGTCACCCTCAGGATCAAACCACCACCCAAGAATAAAGGTCTTCACCCCAAGAAGCTCCAAGAAGAGAAGCTTCCCCTGTTAAGAGAGAAATTCCAGAATAAGCTTAAGACCAGTTTCAGTGAACATCAAGACCCAGGCATGGATGCAGACCCTGAAGAGCAGTGGAAACATCTAAAACAGCTCTTCAGGACACAGCTGCGGAGGTGGTTGACTTCTCAATAGGGAAACACAAAGAATGGTTCGATGAGAATGATCCGGAAATTGAATCACTCCTCCAGACGAAACGGTCCTGTCATTCCAGACTACCTTCTTGTCCCACTTACCAAGTCACAAAAGCTGCATACAGTACTGCGTACAAAAGCTGCATCGAGCGCTGCATGCAAAACCTTGCAAAGAAAGCTGAGAGTCCTCAAAATCAACTGGTGAATAGACCTCGCAGAAAAGACACAGCTATATGCAGACATGGAGGATACAAGAGCATTCTATGAAGCCCTATGCTCAGTGTATGGACCCTCGCACCAGACACAGTCCCCCATAAGATCATCAGATGGCACAACCCTTGTGACAGACAAGGAAGCTATCATGCATCGATCGTCAGAACACTTTAGCGGTCTCTTTGCAGACAAGCAGACAGTCCAAGAAGCATCCATAGCCAAGATCTAACAGCGCGAAGTGAGGACTGAACTGGACACACCACCAACACGGACAGATATTGTATCTGCCATCAATAAACTTAAATCACACAAGGCACCTGGTATCGATGGGATCCCAGCCAAAGTGTACAAGGAGAGAGGAGATGCACTTCTGGACAGCCTCACAGACCTTTTCTCATTTTGCTGGGAGAAGGGAGCAATACCCCAAGATCTCCGGGATGCAGTAATTGTCTCCCAATATAAGAACAAGGGGGTGTAATCTGATTGCTCCAATTACTGTGGAATCACATTGCTCTGTATCGCAGACAAAATTCTGTCCAGGGTCCGACTCGACAGATTAGATGTCCACCATTGCCAAAGAAGTCATTCCTGAAAGCCAGTGCGGCTTCAGGTCAAGGAGGGGAATGGCAGATATAATTTTTGTTCTGAGACAATTACAAGAAAAGTACAGGGAACTGAACATGGGCCTCTATGCTGCATTCATTGACCTGAACAAGGCTTTTGACACAGTCAGTCGTGATGGTCTCTGGAGAATACTATCAAAACTGGACTGCCCTCCCCGGTTCCGTACCATCGTGCAGCAACTACACGTCAGACAGAAAGGCCAGGTCAAACACAACGTAAGCCTCTCAGACAGCTTCCCCATCAACAATGGGGTCAAGCAAGGTTGCGTGCTGGCATCTACACTCATCGCCATATTCTTCAGCCTGATGTTCCAGAAGGCCAATGAGGGGCTGACAGAAGGCGTCTACATCCGATTCCGGACCGATGGCAGTCTCTTCAATCTTCGGCGTCTCTTTGCCAAGACCAAAACCACAGAGCAACATGTTCTGGAACTGCTATTTTCAGATGACTGCGCACTTCTTGCACACATGGAAAGGTCCTAGAGCTCATTGTGAACTGTTTCTCTGATGCGGCTTTTGGCCTGACCATCATTCTCAAGAAAACAGAGGTGTTATTCCAGCCCTCATCTTGTGGAGTGTACACCACACCATCAATCGCCATCGACAACACCCATCTCAACGCAGTGGAACAGTTAACATACCTGGGCAGCATAATATCCAACAACTCATTCATCACGAAGGACATTGACAACAGACTTGCCAAGGCAAACTGCTCCTTTGGCAGGTTCCACAAGCGTGTCTGGCAGAGCTACTCACTTCGTCTCACAACAAAGATACAGGTATAAAGGGCAGTTGTAGTAACCACCCTTCTATACAGCTCAGAATCCTGGGTCCTGTACAGGAAACAGCTGAGGCTGCTGGAGCGTTTCCACCAGCGCTGCCTGCCCTCTATCACGTACGTCAGATGGCAGGACTATGTCACAAACAACAGTCTTGGAGAGAGCTCAAACACCCAGCATTGAATCCATCCTGCTTCTTCATCAGCTACGCTGGGCTGGCCACGTCTCACGCATGGAGGACAACAGGATGCCCTAAGCGGTCATCTACAACAAGTTGTGTCATGGGAAGGGAGACAGGAGTGGACCTCGAAGACGCTTCATGGACCAGCTCAAACAGCAACTGACTGTTGTGGGTATCGATTCCCGAACCTGGGAGCTCAGGGCCGTTGAGAAAGACCGCTGGCGCTCCACAGCCAAATAAACAGCTAAAATTGCAGACCGCACGAGGCACAAAGCTTCAACAGAAAAACGGAGGCACAGAAAGACTACCACCATGGACACGTCCCCCACTCTGGCCCCGACTGGTTAGTAGTTCAAATGAACCACCTGCCACAAAATATGCAAATCAAGGATCGGCCTGTACAGCCACCAGCGTGCCTATCAACTACATTAATCTCATATATCCTCCCTGATCTTCGCAAGTAAAGAACCAGCCGACGACGACGAGTACATCTATTTGGCCATTGTGAACTCCTTGTGTGATGCTAAATGGCCATGCTCATAAAAACAATGTAATCTGCCATCTTGAGAGGAAATAGTCCTTAACAAAGTCTTATATTTTGAGGTCGTTTGACTTGATGTGTGATGCACATTTATTACATTTCATTGAAAGTCTGTGTGCTGTATTTGTACACATTTTATATTTAACCTGCCCTGTTGTCTGTTTATATTCTTTCAAAGCTTTGACGTTTAATATATTCGGATCTACCAAGGCTAACGAGCTGAAATTTTCTACACAAACTCGTCTCATGTGACAATTTAAGATTCAATTCAACCATGATGATGGTTAAAAATTGAGTAATCATTGGAAAAATGTAATTAACCATGCAAAAAAGATTTAACTACACTTATTTGGACCATCTTATTTGACAGACAACTATTACAGGTTATTGATAGACAGCCAGTTTTTGTTTTACCAGGTTTAGTTTTTTCTTTTTTCACACTTTTGTTATGTAGGCTAGGCGTAGTCACAAACCGCACCTCTCCATAACAAAGGCTCAGTCTTTTGTTATGCAGTCTATTCTTAGTCTTAAGCCTCACCTTACCATATTAATAAAGAGTGTGCCGTACTTGGCCCTTCCTCTCTTCAACCTTTATATATACGGAGTGGTAGCTCTTGTAATCTCTCATTTGCTTGATACAGCTGTCGTGGCTGTGGCGGTTCCACCTGAAGACAGAAGCTTGTGTTGCCTCCGAAACGTCGTGATTTTTATTTTATTTTACTTTTATTAATATTAAAAAAAAATTTACCTACGTGACTTTACCGAAAAAACCTAAGAATGTGATGGATTTGATCGGTGAATTTTATGGATGGGTGTATGGAATTGATGTGGTTGAAAAATTGGTTCAATGTTGGCAGGCCATGTGGCCAAATGACAAAAGTGTCATCTACATATCTCTTCCACAAGGAAGGACGTAGGGTGGATATCTGGATGGCATCTGTTTCAAATTTCTCCATGAAAACATTCACTATCACTGGTGATAAGGGGGGAACCCATAGGGGTACCTTAATTTTGTTTGTAGAAAGTACCATTCCAGGTGAATTAAGTGTTGGTAAGGCAAACCACCCACTTTTATTCAACCCATCAAATTTGATTTATCCTGGGAACAAAATAATGTGTTTTCTACTTTGAAGTGCAAATTAAAGTGTGTGTATTGAAAAACTAGTTTTACCTATTTTTTTATTTAAATGACTTCCACTGCACGCGTAGAAGATGCCGAGAAGCAATCCGCGTTCATTACATAACTGGTAACTCATCACGTGGATGACGTGGTCAGCGAGCGAGTACAGGATTGGCTGAGGAAAGCAGACGAAAGTGCAACGCCCCGGGAAAGCTAGGAGGAGGGAGGGGACAATGTTAACAGTTTCCAAATAAACAGGTACCCTGCGATTAGCTGTAGTTGAAGGTGATGACATCAATAAATCTTGGTTGGGTCACATTCTGATGAAGCCATGTTGGTTTAACCAGCCATACAGTTTGTTTTGCTCTTCATAACAAGCACTCTATTAACCAAATATATTCTGCATAACAAGTGAACTAAAACATACACATTTAATTTCCCAGGTAGTTACATACATATCTATGTTTATGTACTTTGTGGGTGTTAAGGATAACGTGATATAAGCTTAGCTTACCTGTGCTTGGTGTCGACCATGAATAATCTGGGAATTAAACATTTCAAACATGGTCATTGATGGAAAGGCAGCAGGGAGATCACTGGGTGTGGTGGCCTCTGAGCCAGCACTTTATAATTTTAATGTTAAAAATCACCGATGATATCGAAACATCTCAAACAACTGTACATTAATAGAGACATAAACAACTCACAAGTGTAAAGAATATCCAACAGGAAATATAAAAGCTGAAACAAATAACAATACTAACAACTTGCACTATAAATCATAGTAATCATCATATTCGTGATCATCAGTATTGATTCTACCAAGCACACTCTACAGGTGACCTGTTTGCTTGTGACTTGTATTTGGAGAAATATAAATTATTATATAGATACAGACAAAAGCAATTTGGAGTACGTTTGGAGAGTTTATGCTGTAAAGTAGTATGTGATATTCCTAAATAAGTAAATAGAACAAAATATAAAAATTGTGAAAAAAGTATGGAGAATTGCATGCTTGGAATTACATTGACAGAAATAAGAAAGCGTTAGAGAACGTATGTAGATTAATATCATTCAGCCGTTTCGAAAAGTGGGATTTGGCAGCCATAATAATTAAGTGCCAGTCAATGAATGGTATACGTCTGAGTGAACGTTTACCATGGAGACAAAGCGATGAAATCATGTACATTCATATTCATTTGATTCCTAAAGCCTTTAGTCAAAGTGCATGTCTACTTCAAAGTTAATACTGTATTATCAACTGATATCCTCAGCAACGATATAATCAGCGGGTTCCAGGGGCTTCCCGATGAGGTCTTCCCGTGACCCTAGCCCCAGTTCCTCTGCCCTGCTGGCACACCCGTGGAAATGCTCAACGGCGTGTGCGCTAACTGTCCACCGCAGTTACCGGCGCTATGTCACTACACAAATACTGAATGTAGTTTTGCAGGCCTGCAGGTAAAGTCCACTTACCATAGTATTGGCAGATGTCGCCCCAATAACCTCCATAGCAGTAGCAATGGATGTTTTCAGGATGCCAAGACCCGTAATCCACACAGGTCCCACCGTTGAGACACGGATTCGGTTGACACTTATCTGTAGAACGTATAACAAAAAATAATGAAATTAAACTGTCCTTATGCAAATATTGGGTGGTGATTATCTACACACGCCTGTGATTCAGCATTGTGAAGGCAAGTTTGGTGGATCACACAAATGTTGTGAAACTCCCTTTCCGTGGTGTCAATGTGTCACACTGTGGCTCGCTAGGAGAAAACAATATAGCAAGTGGACGAATCGCTGTTTCCATTTGTACGGACATCGTGTTGCCCCCTCGCACGTGTGAGTTTTCTGCAGGTCCTCCGATTTTATCCCACTTGTATGAACGCAAATCATTTAATTAACTGAAAATCTCTTAAAATAAAAACCCAATATTGCAGGACCTTACTGAGTCAAGTATCCTACGACTTCCTGTGGCTTTTACAGATGAATAATTAAATGATTATTGTTATAAGGTGGACATAACCCCCAGGACAGACAGTGTGGGGAGGCCTTCATCTAGCAGTGTTCGCTTCAAATATGAACTCATATGCCAACAAATGTGCATGCACAATATAAATATAGCTCACCTGGGCTTGGTGTCGACAAAGAATATTCTGGGAATTAAAAAAAATCACACGTTATCACTGATGTAAAGGCAACAGAAAGACATCCAGGTGTGTTGACTTCTCAGCCAGCACTTTACAGGTAGGGTTGGTGGATCACACAAGACATCGTCATGCATAAGACAATATAAGGTGGCACTTTATCGCAGAGTTTCTGAATCTCCAGGCGTCCCAGTGCGTGAGTGCACGTGTTTCCACGTGCCGCAGGCGGCGTTAATTGCTTAGCGTGTAGCGTGGAACATGTTTAACAATCATCTGGCACGTGCTGTGTGAAAAGAGTTAATTTGATTAGGGAGTAAATTAGTAAACGCAGAAAGACGAAGCGTGGTGGGTCACAAGGACTGCAGTTTGAGAAACCCTGCTATATGGTAATATACAATCAGCAGGCTGCCTGTCTATACCAATACATTTTGAAAAGGACTGAGCTTTGTCCAGATAATTTAAACCTGTGGAATATATAGTCTTTAAGCTCACCAGGCATACTGTAAATCCAGGATAAACTGGTTTGATGGAGCAGAATGTGACTGAGGTTGCAGACCCTCATAGTTTACTGCATCTGTTATAAAAAAAAATTGAACCCAGTTATTTGATTAGTCAATTGGAGGGTTTGGTATGCTTGAATACTCAGATGCCGGGTGGCATTGGTTCATACTAGCTCTATACAATATTTAAGGCAGTCAAACTGGCAAGATTGATCTGCAATCAGCGAGCGAGGAGCATGCGAAAGTGAGGAGTCCACGACCGCTGCTGGAGCTCCACTACTGCAGCTCCGACTTGATTTATTCTTGACTTATTATTTACATTCATAATATGATACATTTCCTAGCTAATAAAAGTACAATTTGTGCATCATTCTTTTAAATTGCAAGCTGAAAGTGACGGACAATTAGCGGCCCAATGCGAATACACTTCACTTTCAACCACAGCTGACTTGAAAACAATTATTGATTGGGGTGACAAACCCTGATCGTCAACTAAAAAACTCAGCCAATGATAATATTAGTTATGAGGCTTTTCCTGTATGGAATTACATAATTAAAATGTGGCTGGGTGGAGGGTGTTCACTGCAGAATGACGGGAAAACTGCCATATGATAGAGACATACACAAACATGTTTTAACAAGATTGTGTCAGATTCAAGGTTTTTTTTCCTGTTTTTGTATATTCTACATGGAGTGGTGTACATTGATAGCCAGGCAGGCATCATCATACATCACTATCATGGTTTTAAATCTGAAAATTCGTTGACTTGTGTAGACTGAGAAAATATTCACTTGATTTAGTTTGTGTCAAATGACTCCAACCGATTCCACGTTTGACATTCATTTCCATGCAATAACTCCAACTATTACTGAACAAATTGGTCTCACTGGATTCATTTACCCAAGTAAAACCATACAACCTTACCATAGTGGTCACAGTAAGGGCCAATCCAGCCGGGAGGGCAGTAGCAATAATAGCCGTTGCTGTAGTGCCAATGCCAAGCCGAGTGCCAGCCTGATTCCCAGCCCGAGTGCCATCCCGAGTGCCAGTACGGGTGCCAGTGATTCGCACAGATCCCTCCATTCGAACATGTGAACGAGTTGCATACGTCTAGAAAAAAAACATCCGGATGTTATTCCTTTTTGGAATCACCAAACTCCTTCTTGTTTCACCACCCCCATGTTAATGTATTCACATACAGTTTTCTCCCTAATTTCCACAATGTCCTGAAATGTATGGTCTATTCATCGCACAGTTTTATGTTAACATTGTTTCAAACCAACAAGCACAACACCCGAATACATTGTGAGACACATCTTTCCATATCCTTGGGTAGGTTTTTCACCAGGCGATATCATTAATAGGAAGATATGAACAAAAATACAAGGTTAACAATTTTGTATTAGTTTATGGAAGAGGGAAATGTTCCATTTTTAAAGGTGATCAGATAAATAAATCTTGGTTGGATAACATTTTGACGAAGCCATGTTGGTTCAATTACTATCACAATTTTCTATTTGCTCCTAAAAAAAAAACACTCTTAATACGGTCTAAACCAAATTCATCGTATATCCCGAGTTGAAAAAAATATACTTTTAAGGTAAAAAAAAACTGGCACATGTATTGTTTGTAGATGTTAGGGTTAATAATCTTAGCTAACCTGTGCTTGGTGTCGACGTTGAATAATCTGGGAATTAAACATTTCACAGACATGGTCAGTGATGGAAAAGGCAGCAGGAAGATCACTGGATGTGATGGTCTCCGAGTCTGCACTGTATAATAATAATAATATTTCTTTGGTTCTTTCGGTAAAGTCACGTATAAAGATAAAATAATAAATCAAATAATAGCATACTACGACGTTTCGATTGCAACACAAGCAATCATCATCAGGTATAAAAGAAATAGCAACAAAAATCTAACCAGAAAACTATAGACAGAAATATAAGCAGACAGATATCACAAAGATACACAGAGAGAGAACACGTATCGGCACAAAGAGAGAGATCGTCTCTGTGACGCGGCCTTAAATACAGAGAGGGGGCGGGGGCGGAGAGAGGGAGGGGGCAGAGAAAAAATTAGCATGTCAATGAGTGGACGACGACGTGGTACGGTACGCAAGCTTGAAAATTAGGAGAAAGACACACTAAAATTAAATAACCTAGCAAAATATCGAAATGTAATGTAATGCAACACAGAGAGTCGGTCAACACACAATTAACGCATAGCCTGGTTGATTACGTATTTCAAAGATTGCTAAGTTAGAATTTAAGTGTGAAAACTCCAAAGAGAGGACACAGGCAGAGAGAGACGTCATAGTATGGTATTATTTAATTTATTATTTTATCTTTATACGTGACTTTACCGAAAGAACCAAAGAATAATTCCTGCAGTCACGAAAGCTCCAAAATTAAGATTGAACCACTTCTACAGAGAAGTTTTAAGCTTATCTTTTTTCTCTGTCTCTGGTTTTTTGTTTTCTCTCTCTGCCTGTGTCCTCTCTTTGGAATTTTCACACTTAAATTCTAACTTAGCAATCTTTGAAATACGTAATCAACCAGGCTATGCGTTAATTGTGTGTTGACCGACTCTCTGTGTTGCATTACATTACATTTCGATATTTTGCTAGGTTATTTAATTTTAGTGTGTCTTTCTCCTAATTTTCAAGCTTGCGTACCGTACCACGTCGTCGTCCACTCATTGACATGCTAATTTTTTCTCTGCCCCCTCCCTTTCTCCGCCCCCGCCCCCTCTCTATATTTAAGGCCGCGTCACAGAGACGATCTCTTTCTTTGTGCCGATACGTGTTCTCTCTCTGTGTATCTTTGTGATATCTGTCTGCTTATATGTCTGTCTATAGTTTTCTGGTTAGATTTTTGTTGCTATTTCTTTTATACCTGATGATGATTGCTTGTGTTGCAATAGAAACGTCGTAGTATGCTATTATTTAATTTATTACTTTATCTTTATTCGTGACTTTACCGAAAGAACCAAAGAATAATTCCTGCAGTCACGAAAGCTCCAAAATTAAGATTGAATAATAATATTCATTTCATAAAGCACCTTTCATATCAAAATATCCCAAAGAGCTGTATATTAAGAACAAAAACTCAAGTATAAAAAAAACACGACAGAAATAATAAAAGTAGAAACAAATAACAATACTGACACTCCAGTTGCACTATAGATCATAGTGATCATCATCTAAGGGATCATCAGTATGGATTTCCCCAAGTATGCTCTAAAGGTGGCCTGCTTGCTTATGACTCATATTTGGAGTTCAAGTCCTGCACATTTTGGAGAGAGATTCTCGTCCTTGACATTTATAAACCATTTTATTATGTCTCGTATCGTTCATTATTTGCTAAGCTACCATGTTTTGCAGTCCACTAATCTACAAACTTTGATTTAATCTTTCTGGCTGATAAATTACATACGCAGTATTTGGTAGTTATTTGATATTTCACTATACACAAGGCTGCTTAGTCTCCAACTTACTATTTCCACTCACAATATGATTGATTACTTAGCTGATAAGAGTACATTTTATGCATTGTATTATTTTGAATTGCAAACTGACACTTTTAGACAATTTGCAGCCGAATGCAAATACACTTCCCTATCAATCATAACTAACTTGAAAACAATTATTTATTGGGGTGACACAAACCTGATCGTCAACTAATAAACTCAGCCAATGATAATATTAGTTATGAGGCTTTTCCTGTATGGAATTACATAATTAAAATGTGGCTGGGTGGAGGGTGTTCACTGCAGAATGACGGGAAAACTGCCATATCATAGAGACATACACAAACATGTTTTAACAAGATTGTGTCAGATTCAAGGTTTTTTTTCCTGTTTTTGTATATTCTACATGGAGTGGTGTACATTGATAGCCAGGCAGGCATCATCATACATCACTATGAGGGTTTGAAATCTGAAAATGCGTTGGCTTGTGTAGACTGAGAAAATATTCACATTATTTAGTTTTAGTCCAATGACTCCAACCGATTCTACGTTTGAAATTTATTTGCATGCAATAACTCCAACTATTCATGAACAAATTGGTCTCACTGGATCCATTTATCCAAGTAAAACCATACAACCTTACCATATTGGTCACAGTAGGGGCCAGTCCAGCCGGGAGGGCAGTAGCAATAATAACCGTGGTTGTAGTGCCAATGCCATTGCGGGTGCCAATGCCAATCCGAGTGCCAGCCTGATTCCCAGCCCGAGTGCCAGTACGGGTGCCAGTGATTCGCACAGATCCCTCCATTTGAACATGTGAACGAGTTGCATACGTCTGGAAAAAAAACATCCGGATGTTATTCCTTTTCGGAATCACCAAACTCCTTCTTGTTTCACCACCCCCATGTTAATGTATTCACATACAGTTTTCTCCTTAACTTCCACAATACATTGTGAGACAAAAAACATGCTAGTGCATCACTAGTACAGCACAACGGTGTGTTGGAAATTTCTCTGGCTGTTGCCTGAAGAAACTAGTTGTAATTACTGGCGAAACGTCATTTTCAGTTTGTAAATGTTGTGGCTTGGCTCTCCAACACACCGGTGTGCTGTACTAGTGACGAATTGGCATGTTCTGTTTACGTGACAACCCTTACTAGTTGGCTGTGTTGGGTGGTGGTGGCGGGTTTTCACGACACATTTATATATTCACGCGTTTTAACCCAAAAACCTCTATTATGGATTATTATCATTTGTTTAGCGATCATTGACTCCAACTGTTTCCATTTTTGAGGTTCATTTGCACGCAATGGCTGCAACTGGTCATTTGCAAAACTGCTTTTCACTGGACCCATTTGTAACGACTCAGACAACGTTGCAATCAGAGCCACTTTATTGGGACACAGCCACAATGCGGGACCCTAGGCTTTGTTCTTGTCTAAAGCTTATAACTTCCTCCAAACGTCCCCACTCCCTGTGCTCTCCCCTTTTATATTCCTCGAGCCCCCTTTCTGGAACTTTATTGTTTTTTCCCCCAAGCCAATCCCTGTCCTTCCCCTCTAACGGATCCTCTCTCCATACTCTTTGGTTATTTCGGTACATGACTTTACCGAAAGAACCAAAGAGTATGGATCATTGCAGTCACGAAAACTTCAGATCTAGATTGGATCCTCTCTCTTTACCGCTTAATCCAGTTCAAACTTTATTACTCCAATCCCTTTAAAAGTCTGCCTCCAGAGCAATCACCGTGGAGGTCGCTTTCTACCAATCCGAGACCTTTGTTTATTTTCAAATAGACGTTAGGCTGCATATTGGCTTGAGGTAATTTTTCAGTCATTACACATTTACCAAAGTAAAAACCATCCAATCTTACCGTAGTATTCACAGTAGGGGCCATACAAGCCTGGTGGGCAGTAGCAATAGTAACCTTGATGCCAGTTCTCGTGCCAGTGCCACTGGCTATGCCAATGCCAGTGGTGCCAGTCGTTTGCACAGATCCCTCCATTCATACATGAGTATGAGCCGCAATAGGCTGCAAAACACAGGTCCTGATTTGTCATTCACTGCATCAGATCTCACGCAATAATGAGTTTATACATATTGCTTTTATATAGAACAAATAGATCAGCTCACGGGCCGGAGTGAGATGGACGTTGGCATCTCAGGGAAATGAGAGATGGTGACAGCATGGGGAGGCCTTTATTTAGAAGTAGGTAGACAATGGGATGTGATGACGAGTACAATGATGAATCTATGTGTCCAAAGTTCCTATCTGCTCAAGTGAGCATGGTATAGCAACAACAAATGGTTCAAATAGAGAGGAGATGACTTAATATTAGAGTTACAAAACACTCGCGATACCTTCTGAATAGACTACATCCTGCACCCCTAATTACTAAAAAAAGCCATACACACCTACGTTTTTGAAGTAGAAAATACGTGCGTATGTGTTTATGTATTCTTTATAGACGTTTAGGTAAATGCGGTGGGATAAATTGTGGATACCTCTTTCACAATGCCTAGACTTACCAGAGTGCCATTTCTGTTCTTGCCGTGAGCTTTCTGTGGAGTAGAATTAATACATTACAAATTAATATTTTACAAAATGTGCTAATGTTCAATCCACAACAAGATTTCGTAGCATTTAGCATTGAATTGTGGTGCCCCGGTAGCAAGATGTGAACTACCTCGCCTAGTATACAGGAGGTCGTGGGTTCAATCCAGGCCCTGATGCCTGCTGTATATTTTGAGTTTGCACGTCTCTCTCCCAGTGGTCACGTGGATTTTTCTGCGGATTCTCTGTTTTTGCAGTCCACATTTAGAAACATGCAGTTAGGGTATTTGGCTGCTATAAATTTCCACGTGACTAGCCACTTCGTTGAGCTATCATTTGTGACCAGGTCGCTTCAGCCACATCTCATTGAGTGTGGAGCCACATTCACACCACACGACTGTTACTCGCACTTGAGTTTTCGAGGGAGTAAATACAAATGTACTCTCCCGTCTATGAGTCTGTATTGTTCTTAGACTTCGAAGTTAATGTTGCGGGATACATCGTGGGGGCCTCTATCAACGCCATAACTTACCCGCTGTGTGCCATTTCTCTTCTTGCTGAGAGATTTCTAGAGAACAATACGTTACAAATAAGTCAAGAAAGTGCTGTAATCTACACAAGCTTTATTTTCATTTGCTGATTAATTCGTATAGCAATATACATTGGGTATATTTATAGTTTATAATAATCAGAAACCATGCACTCAGACTGTCAGGATGTGATAAGGTCAACACATTTTGGTTGGGTCAAAGATGAAGCCAAGTCGGTTAAATCAGCCGATCACAATGTTTTATTTGTGCTTCACAAAAAGCACTCTTGATAAATTCTGAACCAAATATATCATACAAAGCTAGTTTTAAAAACATGCACACTTTATTTGTATAGTTCTTACATATGAATGAATGCTTTCCTGTATTGTTTATAGACATTAAGATTAATGCGGTGGGATACATTTTGTGTCTTTATCACAATGCCAAAACTTACCAGTTGTGTGCCATTTATCTTGCCTAGAGTTTGCTGTGGAATAGAAATAATACATTATACATTATTTTTTAAGTGCTGTGTTGTAGTGTAATCGACAACAAGATTTATTTTATATACACAAATTGCATCATACATTTCACAGGCAACATACATTCGTGGCAGCTTTCTTTTTAAAATCTTTGGGTGTCTGTTTCACACATACTGTACATTATAAAACTGATTAATACGTCACAATGAAATTATACTGAGGAGTATCAAAACCAGCGCACAGTTGTCGTATTTAGTGACACAAATACTACTGGAGAACAATGATTGGGAATAATTTCGTCGATATCCAGATGAAGACTTTTTACAATTCAACAAGCTCGTCGCCTACTCAAGCAATAATTACATAATATAAAATATCAGCCCTTTGCCTTATTGCTGGATGAAGACCTCCCAGCAACACAATACACTTGTCGGGAGGTTCGATGAAGGAGAAGAAAAGCCATGATCACCTCATATCACTTGTCCACTGACCTCAGTTGTAATTCTGACAACTGGTTCAAAGTGCAGTGCACAAAATACTGCACCACTCTTAAGTATTTTTACTATGATTATAACTTAGTATGAATTGCATTATATAAGTTGCATGAATCGGCCGGTGTAACAGTTCTATTTCTCTAATTTTAGTTGTTAGTATGCACTGCCTGAATTATGACACTATTGTTATGTTTTAATGTTACACTTTTATCCAGGAAAACGTTACTGAACCTCTGAACTCTTTTGTTTAGGAAGGTTTTGCATTGGGATATTTGGCCAATTTCATCAGTGAATATTTGGCTTATGGTAAGTTACCATAGAATCTGGAGACCGCTCCTACCCTTGCTCTGCACAGGATGTGGAAGAACAGTAATGCTATACTGACTACCTCGCCGACTCAAGCCATCTCCTGACTACATCGCAGCTCAAGCTTATCCAGCACTTGCTATTCCCAGGCAGTCTCCATTTCCAGTACCGTAGAGTACTAACCAGACTCAACCCCGTTTAGCATCTGACATCCGACGAGATCGGGCACATTCAGGGTGCTTTGGCCAATCCGCACATTGTGGAGTGTGGCTCGTGACAGATCCTGAAAGTTGAGCAGGTTGAGCCTCCATAGTGCTCGAATGTGCGATCACAATTCATTACAGGTTTGTTTGGTATAATTATTTGGGCTATCTACTGAGCAGTAGACAGTGTAACAAAATCCATTGTTGTGTTGTACTTCTATGCTTCCCTTTTTACCAGCACACAATGATCCATGTGAAGCTTGAAAACAATCTCCATGATCTATGCGGCGTGGGGAGACCCCATGCAGCAGTCGATAGGGACAAAGGCTGTAAGTGCACGACAATTATCTTAGTCAACAAATAACACTTGTAAAAGACATTCTTACCACATTGCTGAGTGGCGAGAAGCAGGAGCACCCAAGCTACACCATGCAATGGAGGATGCATCTTCATAGAACTTTCACAGCATGGGGTTTTCACCCCGAAGTACAGACTGAAAAAAATACACGGGGTTTTAATGCTGCACACAGCTGGAACCCTACATCAAAACTCCCAGGTATTTGCATGGTCATAAAAAATTACCTTGCTGTGCATTATAAAATTTGGCTCGATTTTATTGATTTTTAAATCAATCATGTTTCGAGGCTAAACAAGTGTGGAGTTGACAATAACATCAACACGTGTATTAGTATTGTAAAAAGAGTCCATGCTGCAATGTGTCATGGTTATTGGGCAGGGTACCTTTGATGTTGCTGTGTAACAATCCATCCAGCACCTGCACTCGAGCTGACTCTATTTCCACTGTGTATGTCCCCTCGGGGAGGGGGGGTTCTCCTGAGAGAAATTCCGACGGAAACGGATTGATCATGGCCAATGATGACGATATTGATACCCCTGATGTTGGCTAAAAGTCAGTGGTTCAGATAATGTGTTTTGTGCCAGACACACAGCTGGCACCGCATGTCAAAGCTCCCATCTGAGGCAGTGGTTGAAATTCTACTTTTGTAAGACAGGGAACATTCACTCTGTATAAGTGAATTCTGACGTGCAGAAAAATATTGCATAGTCTCACCATCCAGTATTCATATTATCGACTATTGGTGGTGATTATGATGATGGGGAGGATGGGCCAATCTTGTTCAGAAATTCCTTTACCATTATAGTATCAACGATGATCAATCCATTGCTGGATAAAGGCCTCCCCAAGGCGTCGCCATATTTTTCGGTCATGCTATTCAACATCCATCTAGTTGCTGCACAGGAGCTGATTTCATCGCTCCATCTTCACAGTGTACATATTTGCAGGTGTCTTTCATACTTTGTCTGCCACTCCGTTGTTAGTCTGGACCGTTGGCTTATCCTTTTCTCAGAACATGCCCTGCATAAGCCCATTTTTCTTAACAGTTAATGTGGTTTCTAACAAGCATATGTTCTCGAATCTGAGTTTATGTTTCGCTGTGGCTACAGCACTTGACTTAAAATCTAATCAGAATCTTTATTTAGACTGGAGGAATTCGATGAGCTATGAAGCTCTATTTCACGGATGTCCAATATGGGCGGGTCAGCAGGTTACAACAGAAAGCAATACAAAACATTTCAATGCCAAATTGTAGTTAAAATGCGTACTAGTTTGGCGTAAGTGCAGCCCATCATAATACTGCGGTAAATACAGGAATACCTTGCACTTTCGTCTGGTTAGGGACCAGAGCATGGACGAATGTCAAAAATGGACGAATGTCAAAGCAGAGCCTTTATTTAGTTTTGCTCATTAAGTTTGATTATGTCAAGCTTTTTTTGCAAATTTAGAACCTTATGGGTTCTTTTATCTTTACTATGACCACACTTAGGACCCATTATGAATATTAACCTTATGGCGGGACCCCGGGGTCCCGAATAAACGGAAGTCAAAATCACAATTATTTTATTTATTTTTTGTGACTATGTCCCACCGCGCACATAAATGCCGCGACCCACCTGGCGTAGATTATTCTGTTGTCATGTTTCCAAAAATGCAGTAGTCATAAACAAAACTTTGAAACTTTTATTAGCGCACAGTGTAGAGCTCGACGAGAGGAATAGATTGCCGTATCATTCGCCTTCAACAGACATAAAATGATGTTACAACGCAATTTATGCGAGAGACGGGGGCTTTGGGGCCATCTATTTAGTATGGAGGGGGGAGGGGGGTTTACCCAAATGCGTACGCTTGCGTATGGAGGGTCTACTGACAATATACGTACAGTGAGGGAAAAAGTATTTGATCCCCTGCTGATTTTGTACGTTAGCCCACTGACAAAGAAATGATCAGTCTATAATTTTAATGGTAGGTTTATTTGAACAGTGAGAGACAGAATAACAACAACAAAATCCAGAAAAACGCATGTCAAAAATGTGTGGTGGTGGGAATCCTACTTGAAACCGGATTCCCACCACCACCCATCTCAAAAGAATTCTCTCATCAAAACGCTATACCACAGAGCCCATGGCATTTCTGACCAACACCACCTGGCCGTTGAATTAAGACATGTACATCGGGCCCTCAGGATGAACGGATATTCTGACCGCACTATCCGCCAAGCTGTTTCTCCCACCATACAGATACAGCCACATGAAACTCCGACCAAAACTATCACGTTGCCATACATAGCAGGCGTGACCAAAAAGATCTCCAAAATTCTAAACAAACATAAGATCCAAGTCCGATTCAGTACAGTGCATAAAATCCGTGATTTGATTCCATCTGTGAAGGATGTCGTTCCTGACTTACAGTATCCTGGAGTCTACAAATTGAGTTGCATTTTTTTTTCAAAAGGAGACCTGATGGTTCAATGAGCCACTCTGTCTACAGGAAAGCCACCCACACGGATGCTTATCTAAAACCGGATTCCCACCACCATCCATCCCAGAAGAATTCCCTCATCAAGACTCTATATCATAGAGCCCAATGCATCTCCGACCATGAACACATTTCCAGTGAACTCAAACACGTACGCCAAGCTCTTAAGGCAAATGGTTACTCCGACTATACAATCCACAAAGCCATCACTCCAACCATCAAGAAGGATCCTGTTGAGGAGCCTTTCAAGACCATCACCTTACCCTACATTGCTGGGGTCACAAAAAAGATCTCCAAAATCCTGATTAAACACAAGATCCAGGTCCGATTCAACACAGTACATAAAATCCGTGATCTGGTACCGTCTGTAAAAGATGTGGTTCCAGACATACAGTACCCTGGCGTCTACAAACTAAGTTGCCTCTGTGGTAGCAGTTACATTGGGGAAACCAAACGACATGTCTCGGACCGCATCCGTGAACATAAAGCTGACCTGAAACACGGTAGGACTAACACCTCAGCCGTGGCAGATCACTGTTACAACTCAGTGGGCTCACATGATATTGACTTCTCCAAGACAGAGGTTCTCTGCAAGCCATCTGGCTATCATGAGAGATTCGTTCATGAGGCGATCCACATATACAAACACAGAGACAATTTTAACCGAGAAGATGGATTCTGGCTCAGCAATCATTGGAAGGACGTAATAAACCATTTCGATACACATTACGGTGTGTAGAATAATACATAGTGTGATATTAAATGTATAAGATATAGGTTGGTTTACAGCAATACAGTATATAATTTAATGTTGGGTTTATCTATGGCAGTATATAGTACGGTATATGCTCGTGTGATGTAAGAGAATAAGGTTTAGATGGAAGCATATTATAGAATTTTTACGAGGTAGAATTGTAATGTATTACTTGCTGTTAGTAACTCAGCTTATTATAGAGTATAGTAAGTATACTGATGGTGCGATGCAGTTTATACTTTAGTTTTTTATGTAGTTTATACTTTAGTTTTCTACGTGTTTGTTGAGTAACTGCAGCTACATATCATTAACATTCCTTTCCTTTGTTACTGCTAATCCCTGCACCCCCCTTGGTTGCTGCTGATCCTGCATAATGCATGGGCATAATATGACTTTGACACCCCCCCGCCCAACGCCTACGCATTTTCCATGAATATGCTAAATCCCTCTTCACATGCACATTCTTTTTTTGTTAAGGCGCTCTTCAACCCCCAATGCAGCTTATATATAAGCTCCTAGTTTGGTAGTGTCTCATTCTTCACCTGAAGACGGCTGCTTGCGTTGTAGCCGAAACGTCGTGAGAATTGTTTTATTATGTTTTATTTTTATTATTTTATTACTTCCCTTCTACGTGACTTTACCGAAAGAAACAAGAAGATGAGTTGCATTTGTGGTGATTGCTACATTGGAGAAACGAAACGTCATGTTTCTGATCGTGTCCGCGAGCACAAGTCAGATCTAAAACACGGCAGAACTGATTCTTCGGCCGTTGCCGATCATTGCTACAACTCGGTGGGCTCTCATGAAATTGTCTTTTCCGAGACCAAGGTTCTCTGCAAACCTCCTGGCTACCATCAAAGGTTTGTACACGAAGCCATACAAATATACAAACACAGACATAATTTCAACCGTGATGACGGTTACAAACTGAGTAATCATTGGAAAGATGTGATTAACCATGCAAAAAAGATTTAACTACACTTATTTGCCAATCTTATTTGACAGACAACTATTACAGTTTTACCATGCTTAGTGGTTGTCTCCCTGTCACAGGTTGAGTCACAAACCGCACCTCTCCATAACAAAGGCTCAGCCTTTGTTATGCAGTCTATTCTTAGTCTTAAGCCTCACCTTACCATATTAATAAAAAGTATGCGGCCCTTGCCCCACCACCTTCTCCAACCATTATATAAACGGAGTGGTAGCTCCTGCAATCTCTCATTTACTTGATACAGCTGTCGTGGCTGTGACGGTACCACCTGAAGATGGAAGCTTGTGTTGCCTCCGAAACGTCGTGATTTTTATTTTATTTTACTTTTTAATGTTTTTACCTACGTGACTTTACCGAAAAAACCTAAGAACATAGTAGATGTCACTCGAGGGAAGCCACAGTACCCAGTGACAAGGGGTGCTGTAGGGGCATAGCTGAGTAACGGTGAGAGAGAGCGCGTGAGAACATGGCCTTTGGGTGAACCCAGAAGGACACGTGACATGACGAGGTGGAAGGGGGACGAGAGGAACGCCGTAGCGGATATAAGCCGGTGCGCAGAAGCCGGCAGGGTTGCCGTCGTTGGAGTGCTGTCGGAGAGAGATGGGACCTGCCTGCCAAGTCTTGGATCCTCGGGCGTCGGGAGAAGTTGTCAAGAGCCAGGCAATGTGTTAGCTGACCCGGGAGATTATATAGTGTTACCGTGTGTGTTATGTAGCTATATAGGGTGGTCACCACCCTTAGTCATTATTCCGTTGAGTGTAGACTTACCTGTTGTGTTAGTGAATAAAACGTGTTGCTTCCATACTCAAGAGTGCATCTCAATAGAACACACTACATTATTAATCCTTGATCGTTTCTGCGTGGATTAAATATCGGCCTTTCTATAGGATTCGGGGGGGGGGGTGTACATGGAGAAGGGGAGGGGTCAAGTTTTGACAGATTTTTGCGTACGTACTAAATGGATGGCCCCTTATGGGACCCCGGGGTCCCGCCATAAGGTTAATATATTAGAGCATAAGTATTTTACAGTAATCACAAAAATAAGCACAGTATGAATACTGTACACGTGTTTTATAATCACGAAAATAACTATGAACACTTGTATTATACTGTTATCACAAAAATAACTTAATTAATTACAGTATAATCACAGAAATAAGTGCAGTATTAATAATGTATGAATAAACACAAATATAAGAGATGCTCACTGAGCGACTTTTATTCAAAGACTGAACGAAAAAGATGGCGCATGGCGCCAACATCGTGGAAGGTTTGGGATGAAATCGGACGAAAGAGGAAAGCGCGTGGACGAAATGTGAAATGTGGTTATAATTGAAAACGGCCGAAAGAGCGAAGCGACGAAAGTCAAGTGGACGAAAGTCAAGGTGTCGCTGTTAGCAAGGACCGTCAGAAACTAGTTTGAGCATAGAGACAGTTTGGCTTGGAATTTAGGGGAGATGGGGGTGTTATTGAAAACTGTGGCTGCTGGTAAATATGGGCAAACGAAACTACTCAATAGCTTTTGAAACAGACTTCCCATGACATTTCAGGTCGAGTCATGGCAGTGAGACCAAGTAGGGATCACGAAGTGAATATTAGGAAGTGTCTCGCTGCCTGGCCTCGTCGCACCTGGCGGGAGCAGTTCGACATAGACACGGGCCTCCCTGCTTCGGAGGCACGGACTGCAGCTGTGAGTCTACCATTGGATTTTTCTGTTGCGCGTAGTCAACCCTAATTGTTCATGTTTTTGTTGCGGTTGCACCGGATTCAAGAGCCGCATGGCTCACAGGGCTATACCTAATACATGAACTGAACTGAAATAAACTGAACTGAGTGGCCAGCAAAATGGAGGGCACCACGAAACCTTTTTGCTGGTCATGTGCAACGGTAGAAGTACCATCGCCACCGGAAAAAATAGCGTGTGTGCTGGTTGTAACCCTAATCTTTGTTGATGAACCTTCACACCACAGCTGGTGAGAATGAAACAGGTGCGGGGGGGAGGGAATGAGTCACATAACGATTTGGCGAGACGCGTATTTACACCAAGTTTGCATATGCGTCATGGAAAAACATCCAAATACGCCATTGATTTATGTTATACATAATCTAATATATTAATACTTTTTTAAGTCCTTTGTTATAGTCATATGCTGAATTAGGTTTGTACATATAGGCCTTTGTGTCTCGAGAGACAATTTCTTTTGCGCCTTATGAGGTCAGCTGTAGGTTTTGCAGCGCCTAGAATGACTTAGTAGGCCAATCCTTGAGTGGAAATCCTTGCCACAGCAATTGCAAGTGAATGCGGTGGCAGCTCCAGAGGTGTTTGTTTGCTTGTTCTTCACGTCGCTCCCTCTTGGTCTGCCAAGCGGTGTGTCTTTTCTCCTCGCCTCTCCCGAGGCCTGTTTTCATAGCCTGCTGCCAGCTGAGTCGGTCACCGGCAGTTTTCTCCCAGTCATTTGGGTTTATGTCGAAGTTCTTCATGTCCCTTTTACAGACATCTTTGAAGCACAGGACTGGGCGACCAGTGACCCGTGTGCCTGATGCCAGCTCGCCGTACAAGACATCCTTGGGTGTTCTGCCATCCTGCATGCGATCTTGCCATCTGATACCGAGGATGCGCCTGAGACATCGGAGGTGGAATGTGTTTAGTCGACCTCGACGCCCACAGTGTTATAGTCATATGCTGAATTAGGTTTGTAGACGATATCTTACCATTCTGGGCAGTGCGAGGTTAATGAATGTGGGACTAGGAGGTCCGAAATATTGCTCTCCACAAATGCTACTGACACTGCATCCGAGTTTTATCTGCTGCTTTTGATGCCATACACGACTTCATCCTCCTCGAGTGTCTCCATAACTGTGTAGGTGTCTTGGCAACACTTTGATAATGCTTTTGCTCGTATCTCTCAAACCGCTCCTTATATGATTCGATACGAGGACCTCCTTTACAAAATCATATTCAGTTTGAATGCCGGTGGTTAAAATACATGCCCACATGTCAGGAACCATGCTATCTATAGGACTGACAATTATGGCACTCCACCAATAGTGAAGTTGATTATGATCAAAATCAGAATCTTTATTTATCTTGGACAAATCCAATGAGCTATGAAGCTCTTTTTCACAAATGTCCAGTAAACGAGAGGAAGATTGACTTGATATGGGTGTGCAATTTTAACTGTGAATGGAAATATTGCTCATTTATCATCAAAAGCCATGATCAATCCAGTGCGAGATGAAAGCCTATCCACACCATCACTATCACTGTTCTAGTTCCATAATTTCACTCCTGCATTCGAGCTAACGTCATCGCTCCATCTCCATGCTAGCCAAACTCTGGGGCGTGTATGCTCTTTTGACTGCCATTCCATCACCAATCTCGGACACCGGCAATTATGATTTGGATTTGATCCACGTGTTTCTCTCTTTTAGCTCTCATTGTAATTTCCAATAATCATATCTCCACGCTTCGTTATTTCCTTTTAAGTTGTGTTTCCATGATTGTATTTGTCAGTATTCATGTTGCAATGTATTGGTCTTATCGGGCAGTATATACTGAATAGCATCGCTCATTAAGCACGTTAAGTATGCTTAATTATATGGCAATATAATTACATTAAATCTTAATTTCCAGAAGCGCTCCAACCAGCTCTTTCGTGGTTTTCATAATTGTGTAATAGCACAGCATTTATCCATCCCTTGATAGCTAGTTTTATTCATGTCTCCACGTATCATCGAGTAACCTGGCAACATGGCACTTCCAGTCGTATGCCTTGCAATGCAAACGTCTTTAATCAGTAACTTACCATTATAGTGGGCACTTTTTTGGCTACACAACATCATATAAACACAGGTCAAGCGGAACCAAGTGGTAAACATTCTCTCGTAACGCACAAGCAGAACTTGTGGTTGAGAACTCCCTGTAGCGGGGCAGGACAGGCTTCTACCTAGCTGAATCAGGCGGAGTCTGCCATTGGATGAGTGCGACGAGAGGCAACGCACCGTGCCACGCAGGCCACAAGTCATAGTTGAACGCCCCGAATGCTCTTAGTATGCTGCTTGAACAGCCCCCAGGTAACCAGCTCAATTCGGTTTGGACCCAGACTGAATGCGCCACAGCCCCCTCCAATGTCACCACATTGCCACCTAATTGGCCCATTGCTGATTACATGACCTCTGTTGCTGTTGTGAGCTACCAGTGCCAGCCGGTGGTGGCTATGCACGTGGCCTGTAGTCCAGCACTGTGGAGGCGCGGGTTGGTGGATGACATGTTGCAAAAACTTTTCCCGAAGGCATCAAGGTGCAATACTCTGGCTCGCCAACAGAATTCAGTACAGCAAAGTTTGAACCGATATCATCTCTTCTTCTGTATGGGATAGTGTTGCCCCCTCGCATGTGCGGGTATTCTCATCGTAATATATAGAGAACAGCAGAGCAATTGTTGGCGTCGGCTCACTGCCTGGCAGCCTTCTAGCTTGTCTGTGATTCTTCGGCGATTGTGAGATGGAATTTTCATGAACAACGACGATAAATAAAAAGATTAGATTTTTATTTTTAGACCTCATCCCAAATTTGACACATCTTTGGAATTTTCCCAAAATGTCCTCCCATCTCCAGACCGCTTGAGTTAGGCTCCCAGCCCAGCCTGACACCTCACCCCATTTAACAACACAATACACATCTATTTCCATAGATATCTGCCACGTGTGGGGCACATGATTCACTGTCCATGACACCCCCCCCCCCCTTTTCCTTGGTTCCATCCTCAGAGCCCACAAGGAATAATAACTTTTTTGCCAAGTAGATTGCAAGCCCCATGCACCCACGTGAGCAACCCTAACCAAACCAATTTTCACACAAACATTTTATAGATCCCAGAAAATAATTTTAAAATGTCACTAATATTTAACCCACACAACATATTAACCCCGATTGCTTGTAGGCTTCCTTGACGCTCATTCTAAAGGCACTCCTTTACTAATTGCCATACTGATTACCGTAAAGTAAAGTGAGTACAGGTGAAGTATTTGTTCACTTGATGTTATTTATCTTACAACCTAATCCAACAATTGGCGTTACCACTCCCTGTTTATGGCAATCCTGGAGTGAAGCAGGGATTAACACATTTCAGGACATTTTCTTCTTTCCTAAATGTATTTATTTCCAGGAAGTAAGTACAGTACTCTATTTCACCTGCCTAAACAATATATATTTTTTTATAAATCAATTAAAATTAATCGTGAATACAACCCGAATTGAATTTGTTAAACACCCAATATCCATTTACCTGGTTTAATAGACATATTAAAAAAACACACACAATCTCAGAAAGTCCCGTGATAGAATAAACAAGTACTCAGATTAGACAATTTACAGCCACTGTGTGGAGTTATGTCACATCCCAGGACATTTAAAGTTAGGGTTCGATCCCGACCCTACCGCCTGTATGTTTAGAGTTTGTACGTTCTCCCGGTGTTCGTGTGGATTTTTCTCCGGGTCCTCGGTTTTTCTCTCCACATTTAGAAACGTGTTTAAATTATTTGGCTGCTATAAATGTCCATGTAATAAGTTAATTCATTGGGCTATAATTTGTGGCCAGGTCGCTTCTGAAAAAGAACTATATAGCTCATTGGGCCTTACCTGGTAAAATAAAACATTGTTTAATATTTCGTGTCTATTCTTGAATGAATTATGGAACTCTGCCTGATTCAGTTTCAAAGTTTGCATGGTACTTAAAACAAACTAATGAAGGTCTGAACATGCCTCAAGGTCATGTCCAGAGATCCATAATTTTTTCATAATTCCTTGAAATTATTTTAGTCAAGTGTCTTTCACTATCACTACTCTATTGATACACTTCTTCTCGATATCACTCCCCAAGGTCTGTCTGATCATCACAGCGTACTAATCCACATCTACTACACTACAACTAAGCTCCTATTACGATTTTTTTTAAAATCATGTACTTTTATCTTGGGAGACATGAGTCGGCAACATGTTTATTGTAGAATAATTCAAACAAATCAGCTACTCAAATGATTACATAATTTTGGCAACATTTGTTATATTTTATCTCTACACCTCAGTATTTTTCCAATGACATTATTTAGCACCAAAACAAATATTTTAGTTAGATGTAGTGGCTTACTGTATATATATATAGGTTATCCTGGAGATCCAAACAAGTAGTTTACTGGACTTATTTGAGAACTGGATTCGAGTGACATGTATTGTATTTGAGATGACATAACACCACATTTGTGCCAATGAATTTTAAAGCAACATTTGGCAAGTGTATATTAATGCCCTCACTTATTTAGCTCTGTAGACGCCACTTTGTTATGCTCATGTATTTGAAGTGTAAAACGTCGTCAATACTTGCTACAATTTTCAACTCTGATTTCCTGTTTTGTGCATCTTGCTGCACGATTTTGTGTATTTACTGGAAACCCTTGACAAAACATTTATGAAAATTACTTTTACATGTTGCTTGCATTAGTTAAAAAGCAACATTAAGCCTGGTAAGTTGTAAATTAATATGAAGTGCTGAGCGGTTGGTATTGGATCCTGGCAGCGCGGTGGCGGTAAATTTTCACTGTGATCACACAGACGGCACCGACGGCCATGGTGGCAGCCAGGGCGTACACCATGCCTGTCCAGCCGGGCAACCCATCGCTGCCCTGCTTTTTCAGAGAGGCTATGGGTGGGAGGGGGGTCCACAGCAGCACCGATACCAAAATCAGAAGCAACAGCACCATTACCAATAAGTTCAGCAGCAACAAAAACAGCAGCAGAGACGGCAGCAGCACAAACAAAACAAGTAATTTCATTACGACAATCTCACACGTTCCCCAACGTTTTATGAAATGATTATTGTCTGAAAAGTGGTCCTCATTTTAAATGAAGAAATTATATGTATCGATGTGTATATATATAAATAAATCCCCTTTATCCACATAGACCATTCTCAGCTTTGGGATGCTCAGCCGGTGTTGCAAGAACGTTTTGCAATTGGGTGGGAATTGGAAAACCCTGGACAGACCCATACATACGGGGAGGAATCACACACAAGTGTAAAACGAACTTGCTCTGCTGCCACATCATGGCCACCTTGCAGCGCTCCAGGTGTGTACGGCTCACGCACAGAGTGATTTCTGCAAGGGCCACAAACGCCTCCTCCAAAATTGTAATTACAGGAATGTACCTCCACTGGCAAGCCAGGTGTTGAATAAGGCAGAGCCATAAATAGTTATCATTCACATAACGGCCCAGTACCAGTTGAGTTTTAAATAACAATCAACCTATGCATCTTAATTTGTGCAAGCGGACACCTGCAAACAACAGTTTTCTACCATTTTATTTCAAACTAAAAGTCACAAATTTGTAACGTGATACTTTTTCCCTTGAGTCAAAGGTGTTACCTTCAGAGAGAAACCACAGACACATGGGATGGCAGTCAGATCCAGCACCAACAATTGCCCAAGGTCTGGCCCTATATTGCCAATTCCATTAATGAGTGATTATACATGGGTAAGGAAACCGGAGCACCCGGAGAAAACCCACAAGTAGAAGGGAGGGTTACACTACCCCACAGATGGTAACAGAACTTAATCCAGTTGATGTACCTCCATCTCCTGGCGAACAAGGCAATAGCAACCTCGACCCCCACAGAGTGTTTCACAACTTTGTATGATTCACTAACCCTCACCTCCAGAATGCTGCATTACAGACATGCGCCACCATTGCCCGGCACGTCACGTCACGTCCTGCTCATACTACTGCCAGCATTCAATGGACATGCATTGGCGGACTGGAGAGATTTTGGCAACAGCGAAACCAGGGGTCTGACCTTCACGAGTCTTGCGCAGTCTGATGGGGCCCTGGGACAGGTCGACGGAGTGCTCGGCATGACGTGCATCTCCGTGCACCGTTCCGAGGTCTCGCGCCACCCGCCCTCCCCGCATGCAGCCTCGACGGCACCGCGAGCCCCAGTCCGAGACGTTGCACACGCGCACTGAGCACTCCAGGTACACCTGCAAGGGACATCATCGTTATCACTATCATCGTCATCATTCCAGGCACACCTGCCACGGATCACATCATCGTCATAACCATCATCGTCATCACTCCAGGCACACCTGCCACGGATCACATCATCACTCAAGGCACACCTGCCAGAAACCACATCATCATCACTCGAGGTACACCTGCCAGAAACCACATCATCATCACTCGAGGTACACCTGCCAGGGAAGCACATCATCGCCTCCATCATTGTCATCACTGCAGGCACACCTTGCATGAACGATATCATCGTTTTCTTGGTTCTTTCGGTAAAGTCACGTAGAAGGGAAGTAATAAAATAATAAAAATTATAAAACATAATAAAATAATTCTCACGACGTTTCGGCCACAACGCAAGCAGCCGTCCTCAGGTGAAACCAGGTCTGTCGAGGCGACAGCGTCTGAATGCTGTCGCCTCGACAGACCTGGTTTTCACCTGAGGACGGCTGCTTGCGTTGTGGCCGAAACGTCGTGAGAATTATTTTATAATGTTTAATTATTTTATTACTTCCCTTCTACGTGATTTTACCGAAAGAACCAAGAAGATGAATCCCTGCAGTCACGAAAGTTTTAAATCGAAAGATATCATCGTTGTCGGGGGTATACAAAATACCCACTCCCATAATATACAGATAACAATATAACACATTCGTAGCCTATATGTTCATGACAAATAAAAATCCCTGACTAAAGGGACACACATTACAAACATATAACTTAGAGCTTGTACTTCATGCCAATATATTACACCAGTAGTATGTGTTGGTCCAAGCCTTCTGGTGGATCTCGCAGGTCATTGAGAACCACCAGAATGAACACACAGTGCTAATATATGTAGTGGCTCATTCTGATCTAGCCCCCTGGTTGAATGACTGACTGACTGCCCGAGCTCTGAAAAGTGAGCAGAGCACATTGGGTCAGTAGGGTGCACCACACAGCATAGACTTGAGCAGCCGCCAGTATAACATCTGGCTATGTTGAGAATGCCCCTTAGGCCAGAGTGTGTTGTCCTCCATTAAAAGATTACATGATTTGTCACTCGGGTGAGGAAGTTCGCTTTTATAAAGATTTTGTGGCGTGGAAGGTTGTTACTGAGCACAACTAAAGCTTTATTGGGGGAATACACTTGACGTTGTGGGTGTAAAATGGTCAATGTTGTTACAGAGTTGTCTCCAGGGCAGAAGGGATTTCAGTAGGCCGCACAGTTACTTTTGAGAGTGACATTTGTAATGCAGTACAATGAAGTGTATTTTTTGTAATATATATGTTCCGATTGATGTTTATTTTTTAGGGTTTATTGAATGTTGCTTGTGTGTGCTGGATGTGTGCTGTGTGTAAGATTTTATATTTATAAAACGTTCAGATTTATTTTATTTATAAAACCAATTAAATCGAAAACACACTTGGCCCGGGTGCTTTAAAGTGTGCTACTTCATCAGCATCACCCCAGGTAAACCTGCCAGGGACAACTTCATCTTTCAATCAGACATTCATAGAGCTCTCAAATATTGTCATCACCATTAACACCATCACTTTTAAATATGAATGAAAATTAAAAGAATGCTACAATTATACGTGAAGGAAGATGCAACCTTGATAATTATTTATCTGTATAAATATGGGATGTTCACGTCTGACTGAGACAGAAACAGAGATGAGTCATCCTGATCCTCATTTGAGTCGGGCCACTCAACTTTGTTTACGGCAAGGACCAGCCCTCGTCAGATAGGCACATTTATAACCATCGCCTAATTTAAATGTTTAACCAAAAATGTACAGCGAATTTAACGATTGGTCCTCTTTGGGTGTTTTTCAATTCAACTCTTCATTATTATTTTAAATCATAATATATTGCCTCTTATTTTATTATATCTATAATATGCAGTCATACAAGTGAAGCCACGTGGTGCAATTTGCAGGGACGCCTTTCAACAAAGGGCAAAAACAAAATGGCTGCTTGGCACATGGTACCTGCGAGTCGACGAAGAACTCGACACTGACGAAGCTGAAGCGCTGCTTGCTGTTGGAGCCACTGTAGTAGGTGGTGTACGTGGGGTCCACGTGGCACCTGCATTGCCCACCGATGAAAAGTAATCTCTAATTTTTTATACTGTATTTATGGTAACAAGATTATATTACTTTTAAATTACCAAACAATGTTAATTTTATATGGAGGCTTTGAAGACCAATTTTATGAATCAAAATTTGTTTCTTTTGGGTTAGATCCTGGAGGTATGCAATTTTTTTTACTATACACCCTCAACCACCCGACAAAGCCAATCAAATCAATTTACCCACGTGAAAATTTGATTAGTAAAAAAAATTGCATTATAACTCCACAATATAACCAAAAATAAACCCAATTATGAATTATACGAGAAAATAATTTCTAAAACGTCAAGTAATCAGGAACTGATTATGTTGGCGAAAGCAGCTCAACAAAAATTATAAATAGCACACCAAATTCTATTAGAAGTCAACTGCACGGTAAATCCTTATCGACACGCACCCGTTCTGAAGCAGGAAAAAGGAGGCGCTGTCCGGTGCCCCCGGGTAGGGCGATACCTTGCACGTCTCCAGGAAGAGCTGCAGGTCCCAGGCCACAGAGGTCAGCGTCACCTGCCAGAGAAACAACGCCGTTCATCGTCGGCAGTGGAATCACGCTAACGTCCCTCTACCCACTGCTGCCGCCTCTTCCCTCCGCTCAGTGATGCCCCCCATCTTCCAATGCCAGTTCTCAACCTCAGCCCTTCTCCTGCCCTCACCTCAGCATAGAGCGGGTTTCCCAGCTCCACGTCGTATGGGTAGGAGTAGACGGGCTGGTGGAAGAATTGGTTTGTGTAGAAGTGCACCTGTAGCTCATAGGAGCCCGTGCTCACCATGTCCTGTACCCTGAAGCAAGAAGGAGCATCCATAGAAATCCGCAGATAATTAATAAATTATAGGAAATCCGTGGAATGTTTATTTAAATACAGTCACTCAAAAAAAGTCATGCCCAGCTGGCTGAACAGGCAATTGTCTCTGGTGGTGGCCCTGAGCTAATTTCACATTCTCATCATGGGGCCTGCTCCTCCATAACGTTTGACTTTCTCAGAGTATCACTTTTGCCTCGGTCCAGGATTTTATAGTTTATGATTAAGAAACGTTGTGTCTTGGATATTGTTATTTGTATATATTTCGAATGTTTTCCACTTCTATAAAAACAATAGCAGTAATGTGGCGTGTTTGGTCACGGCAGGTGGTATGTTTTTTACCTTCTGGCTGCTTGATGTTGATCTTTATATTGTATTCACCTGTACAATAATAACTACTTTTGATGCCAGAAAACCTAGAACAACATTTTTTTGACAAAACCGTGGGAGAAAAGTGGCAGTGAAGACGATGTGGGGTGTAGTTCTAGACATGAGACAGCATAGTAAAATCAGAAACAACTACCCAATGTTTAACACGTAGCTTTCGCGACCAATATTACTACCCAATGATAGGACATTGACACCGGAGTTATAGAGGAAACAGATGTTGATGGAATGGAGGGACCATAGGGGTTGTCAGCAGTGTGGTGAAAGCTAAGGGCAGGGACAGAAAACAGGTGTGAGGCCTAGGAAAATCTCGAGGACAATTGTGCAATAAATGTGCATGCGAGTGAGTTGCGAGGCAGGAGAGAGCTTTGAATCCAAGAGAGATTCATTGAACCCACGGGACTGGCTTGAACGCCTTTGAGCGGGCAACCAGTGCTGTACCAACCTGGGGGTGAAGCTAGCCTGAACACGGCCACTCGATCCCATGTAGCAGAGCATGGGGACCCGCAGCCGCTTCGCGCCATTTGGAGCCGCGTAGCCGTACGCCGTGTTGATGTAGACGATAGTGTCGCCATTCGTCTGTAAAAATAAATGAAAAAAGCTAGCCTGGGTTAAAAACGTATTTAATCGGAGTTAATAGTGATGGCGACAGATTCATATATGTCGGTAAACATTTCGGAGTGGCTGTGTGGCTCATGTTTGTGCCAGAACACGATAGCTACCACCAATTATATTATTACTTGTGCTTAGAAATCCAGTTGATATGAATCGCTAGCAATGTCTATTAAACGTATTTTATTGAGCTGTCTGTTGTTGTAAACGTTTTATCTCACTTTTTCCGAGTTTACATTTAGTTATTTAGCATATAAAGTTGGGATCCTGGATAAGGAAGGTAATTGAATTTGCGTGGTTTAGTGTACAGAAACCAATATCAACTCCTGCATTTCCCTGCCTCAACACTGTTGATAATGTAACAAAACACTTTCTAACCACGATGCACCGCCACTGATTAACAGTTAAGCCGTAGCTCGTGAACTTTCTAGCCCCAGGCTCTTGCTCTATTGCCCTGCTCTTACCTCCGTCCTTGAGCCGCAGCCGTTGAGCGGTGCTAGGAGCCGGGCGTATTGGCCGTACACTATGGCGTGGCACGATGGGTCCTGAAGGTGGATGTCGTACACGGATAGCCCGCGTGATGAGATCTCACTCAGGGGAATGAGCAGCTCCATGGAATGCGAATCGCAGTGGAACTGCTTTGACAGATTGTCTGTGAACGCGCATGTGTAACGTTTATTGTTGGTTCGTGTACAAGCGAGTCAGTGTGCTCGTCATCCTAGGGGCACAGCGTTAATGGGGAGCGGGCAAAGCATTACAATCCCGTGACATGGGTTCGATACCTATATGCATGGTGATCAACGCGAGAGGGTCATCGGTATCGCAATATTTATCCTTGAGGAATCCAATGAGCTATAAAGCTCTCTTTCACAGATGTTCAGTATCCGACCCAAAATGTCTGCCGTGTGGTGGTGCTCTCTACATCACATTGGGCTCAAGAAATCTCTCCGAGTCCCTGTGCAATCCTGTGCACGTTCCCCTTAGAATATGCGCATGTCTCTCTGGGTTGTCATCTTCAAGTCACATTTAAAACGGTTACACATATGTTGTTCTGCTCACACCACCCCTCCAAATTGCCATTACGGCGTAGTAAAAATCTTTAAGAACTTTCAGCCTTTAACCACACACCGCTATAAGGTTACATTTGCATATGCACACAAAAGTACACCTTAATGAGCATATGCTTTATATGTAATTATGTGTGTCTCTATATATTTTTTGCATGCTGTGCTATGAACTCAGTGACTCAATTTCAATTCCCACTCACGGCTACCAATGCCAGTGAGAGCAATAATTTAAACTGAGCCTCCCCTAGGTCGACTCAGCCTCAAATGAGTATCTGGTGCAGTGTGTAAACATCGCCACTTGGGAGACAAAGGCAGCTGCGCGTGGTGCTGGCCACCCATCCCCACGTGTGCCGTGCCAACCTTCATTGGTGCTCACTAACAGCACTTACCCAACATTCTGTTTAGGCTATATGAGGGATACTCTTTGGTTCTTTCGGTAAAGTCGTGTAGGTAGAAATACAATTAAACAAATCACGACGTCTTGATTGCAACACAAGCAATCTTCATCAGGTGGAGCAACCACAGCAAGAAAATGCTGAAGTAGGCGAGAGAGCTGCCGTAGCAAGAGGTTACGATCGAAACGTCGTGATTTGTTTTATTTAATTTTATTTCTACCTACGTGACTTTATCGAAAGAACCAAAGAGTATGGATTCCTACAGTCACGAAAGCTTCAAATCGAGATATATGAGGGATATTTGTCTTTATATATGTAAAAGCAGTATGTGTGCAATGTATGCTATATATGCTGTACATAAACTTACATGATGGTGTTGTAGACCAATAGTTAACTAGGAGATAAACAAAGTTATGAACATTAATGTACGACATTTACATTCATGGGAAAACATTTGATTATGAAAATGAATGTTACCAGTTATGGATCAGACAGACTTTGCATGAATCAAAGACTATAGTTTTTGTGACCAGTACAAAACAACACCGAAATGGCTGAAGTGTTCACAGTGGAGGTGCTTGGCGAAATAACAAACCACGGTCAGGATGTGGGAGATGTTTTACCTGTGGTAGATGCAGAGGCAGCTGCTCCAATTGACGATGATGATGAACACATTTGAAAGACAAAAAGTTAATTTACAGTATTATCGACTGGGTGTCCGAAGGGCAAATCGCACGGAAAATTATTGCACTGCGATATTTGGCGACAGTAAATGAATACAAATTACCGTGTGAGCATACGACGGAAGAGTCTTCTGAATGTCCACAGTTATGACTACCCCATCCATGGTGTCTGCAGTGGGAGAGCTCAGATTCGTAGCCAGAGCAACTAATGCCATCCAGCCAGATCGGGCCGCTGCCCTGCCCATAGTGTGCTGCTTGCAGGGCGTACACAGCATGGCCACAGCCCAGCTGGCGACACACGACCTCCGCGTCGTGCATGTCCCAGTTGTCGTCGCACACAGTGCCCCACGAGCCTCCGTAGAACACCTCCACGCGGCCCTCACACCAGCCACCCGCGACCACCCGGACCGGAACATCTGGTGGGCACACCAGACGGAGTTGTCTCAATTAAGGGAAGGACCAAAGTTATTGGGGACCCGGGCTGTTCACTTGCCGGCTCAAACGTGGATCCGACCCCGGCGGACTTGACCTCTGAACCACAGAGCCATCTGAAGTCACATTGGCTGTGCGCGTGTGTTTTGTGGTTTTGTTCATTAATGCATCCTACTGTATCTACTATTTTAAAAACACCCATCCCCAGCAATCCATTCTCACTCATTGTCATTACATTTTAGCGTGTTTTCTTCTGATGAAATTGTTATTTATAATGTGCGTCCTTAGCTTACTGTACCTTACATTTACGTGAATGAGAACTGGAAATGCTTTGTTTGTTTGTATCTTTATATTTTACATTAATGCCCATTCTGGCTGAGTCGATCTTGTCGAAGACATAGCGGTAATCTTTGCAAGCTGACATCTCCGCCTGAAGGTTGCCGACAGAGAGTTAATATTTGCCCCATTATTCACTTGAGCAAGGGGGATACACACTATTAAGCAAGGAACACTGCCCTCAGGTGGGTAGGTGCAGTGGTAATAACCATTCTAGAACATGATTGAGAATGGACGAATAAGTAATACTGAATAAAGGAAAAGGACCGTTGTGTAAATGTGTTCGACTCCATCGTTGCTAATAAGCTGTCATATTTGACTGATGATGATGGAACTGCAATCATAGAGATAATACCTCTTTCTAGAACTACGAGTCAGTAATATGAGTCTTACTTTGGTAGCTTGATGTGGATGTGTATCCTGTAAAATAAAAACAAAAATCAATAATTTGCATAAGCACTTGCCATGTGTTGATTTACTTGTTTCCCGCAATTGGGTGAATTGTCACAATTCAGGTTTTGCAAAATGATCTGAGAATCAATTACTTTTTTTTGCTCGTTTTCTTTATGTACAATTTGTTTGGAGCAATCGCCACAGCCCTCCTCTGTCTTGATACATTGTGATATTTGGCACTGGACAAATAAATGTGCGTATTATTACTTTGACAACTACTACCACGAGCACTGCCATAGCATTGGTGAATAAAACCATATCTTACCAGGTGTTGAACCTGCTCCGCGTGGCATAGAAGACATGTGGAAGAGAGAGGTACAAGCACGCGGTGAATACACAACCAATAACCACCTGCGCAAAACAAGTTTCATTCACGTTTAGTTTCAAAACATGTTTAGAACTAAAAGTGCATGTTAACCTTAAACACCATTGTAAATAGTCTGGTATCCTGAGCTGCCCAAGATGAGTTTGAAGGTTAGATAATTGTGACTTTCGAATATGCGTTTTTCCTTGGTTAGTATTTAACGAGTGATGCTAACGTTACAGTTCAAACCACGCAATGAAGCGAGCACGCATGCGCAGAGATAAAGGTAGTCGATAAGATACAATGAGTGTGACACTCAACACAATATATAGGGACCCCTTGAGGCGGCAGTTTTGCATGAAATTAAGAGTGCTAGGTCTTCTCATGTGTGCTGAAAAGTCTGCACTGCATAATGTGGAAGTAGGCCTAACGCAATGTCAACCTGATGAAAACACAGAAATCGTATCAGTGCACATCGGTCGTGCAGAAAATTCAACCAGTGCCTAACTGCGAGGAGTGAGCGTGGGCACAATATTGCCTCTATAAAGGAAGAGTGCCACGTGCTCAAGGGAGTGCTCATGGGGAGTGGGACGCACCAGGGCAGTTGTATTCGTCCGAACCATCACTGCAGTCAACGATGACGTCGCAATACCAGTGTCCAAAAATGCACTCGTATCCGTTTGCACATTGGAACTGGTCGGACGCACACTGGCCAGCTGCATTCAGCACAGACATCACATTTTTTTTGAAAACCCCCACCTTGTTAGCATTGGCTCACAAAATCATAATATATAATGGGGTAATCCCATATTCAAGTTCAAACATCTAGTTGAGTCGAAGTACCTCCATGCTCAAACAAGTGTGGGACGATGATCACCTTTTTTATATAATGTTTTACAGTGGTGAAATACATTCTTATTCTCATTTAATTGATTAAAATAAAAAAAGTGTTGTTGGGTCTCTTTTTCCTGCATTGGAAACTCTTGTAGCCAAATCTGTTGATATATTTTGCAACAACCAAAACAAATGAATGAATGTATGTATGTGAGAACAAGTCTGGATTTACTCCTTTACTGGTCAAAAGGACATGAAGGTTTTTCCCCAAATTTTGCACAAAATGACCCGTGTTTAATCAAGAGGTGACTAGGGCCCAAATATATTATGATCAATGGAATCTGTACAATGGTTTTAGTCCAGTGTGAAATGCAAATTTTGTTATCATTGGCTAAAATATATAAAACGTTGATTTAAAGCTTTCGTGACTGCAGGAATTCATACTTTTTGGGTGTTTCGGTCAAGTCACGTAAATAGAAAATAATAGATCATGACGTTTCGATCGCAACAGAAGAAATCGTCTTCAGGTGAAGACGAGCTGAGCCGTCATCACTTTCTTAAGGTTCCTCATGAATGAGTAAAGTGTGCAAAGTCTCACATGTAGTAGTAGTAATGGCTGCAGCGGATGGTGATGAAAATATGTAAAACATTCAAACACAAAATATGTAGTTATGACGTTTCATCAATAGGATTGGTATTATTACCTAATATTACAAATGCAGTTTTATGCACAACTACACATTTTACTTTGCAAAATAGAGCCGTAGTGTCAGCTTTTAATAAACCAGGCAATTAGCAGCATAAGCATTTTCCAGTAATAGAAAAAAACAGGTACGTTTTAATATGGGTCTTCTGTGACGAGTAACATCTTAACATCCATTACCCATGACCCTTAAGATTTACACGGACAAATCTACTTGTGCTCCTCTTCATTGTTGTGACCCTCAAAACATAGCTGATAAAAATAACTAAATCACTGCAGAACTCATCGTTCTATCTTTCTTACAGCGAAGTTTTACGGTCACAAACTGGTTTTATTAGTTCTCCATCAGGTTTGTTCGAGTATGGCGCCCATAACAAGCCCTGCATCCAAATGTTCATTCAACTTGCATCGTGTGTGGAATGTCTCACCTGGAGTAGTCGACACTTCTGATGGTGATGAAAACATGTAAAATTAACAAATAAAAAATACGCATTTGTCAATGAAGTCTGCTTTGTGAGATATTCTTCATAATTACCTAATATTACAAATGTATACCTTGTACACAACTACACATTTCACTTGCCAAACATGCGGAGCTAATTGTGTTAGGGTTTCATATTCTTGGGTCTTTCGGTAAAGCCACGTAGATAAAAACAAATAATAACAATATCACGAATGTTTCGATCACAACACAAGCAATCGTCATTAGGTGAGAAATATCGCGGGAGAGCTGCTGGGAATACATGGTGGGAGCGCTGCTAAGGTAAGGAGTTATAAAAGTTTAGGATGGGTGTAGCCCAAGGGTCAGTGGGAGGGGCTAGAGATGAAATCTGTATGTAAATGTAAGATGGGGTAATACTTGACAAACGAAGCTGTGGGGGTGGCCATTGTATTGTGAGGGATTAGCATGTCAATGTTAGAGATTTGCATGTAAATGTAAGCTCGGAGAGAGCTCGGCAAGAGCATCACCACATGGAGGTAGAAAAGGATGTCAAGCCGCCATTTACTAATACAGCTAACGGTGGATGTGTTAGTGAATGTAACTTAGAAAGTTGAAAATAACTGCTAACATAGGTAGGTAGGGAGAGAACATCACAGCCAGTTATGACCTAACCTGGTTAATAACAGTCCTTCCAATGATTGCTTAGTTTGTACCCATCTTCTCAGTTGAAATCGTGTCTGTGTAATAAGATTGGGTAAATCTTGAAAAACGAAGCTGTGGGGGTGGCCATTATATTGTGAGAGATTAGCTTGTCAATGTAAGAAATGTGCTTGTAAATGCAAGCATCAATCATTCCCTTGCACTGAGCCAGAATCACCTTCTCAATGTCCATTTAACCTGCATCGTGTGTATAGGTCTCACCTGGAGTAGTTGGCACTTTTGAAGATAATGGTGATGAAAACATGTAAAATATACAAATAAAACATTACGCAGTTATTAATGAAGTCTACTTCGTGGGATATCCTTCATAGATTACATATGTATGCCTTGTGCATTACACATTTGACCTGGTAAACATACACAGAGCCTTAGTGTTTGGGTTTATGAAGCTAGGCAATCGGCATGGGTATTGAAGACACCCATGCCGATTACCTAATAACATAAGGTATTGGTAAAGTATGAATACAGCAATGTACTGGCACCAACTTAACATCCAATAGCTTTTACTTTAGATTTACACTTATAAATCCACTTCTCTTTAATTTTGTGAACCTCAGAACATAACTGATGTAAGGAAGTAAGCATTACAGAAATTATCGTTATGCATGTCTTACAGCGGAGTGTTACGGTCGTTACGTCGTTTGATTAGTCCTGCAGCAGGGCTCTCCCATGACGAGGCCCATTACAATAGGACCGTGGAAGTAGCCCGTAAATCCTCGCATTGTCTCTGCTTCTTCTAGAAAGCATCAATAATTATCTTGCACGGACCCAGCATCACCTTCTAAACGTCCCTTTGACTTGTATCATGCGTGGAAGGTCTTACCTGTGGTCATCGTATGCACTTTTAGTTGATTAAGGTCAAAACAAGTTAAATAAACAATTACACACCAACAGCCATTAGTGGCAAGTATTCCGAGCTCATCAGCAGTGCTTACAATTACGTGAGCACATTTAAGGTTTGGTATTAAACAAACAGAAGAAAAGTTATTTTCCTCACCATAATATTCACAGTTGTGGCCGGAGAAGTTCCAGTCACAATGGCAATAGTAGTATCCGGGGGAGTGCCAATAATCGACGCAGGTGCCGCCATTGAGACACGGGTTCGAGTGGCACGCCGCTGTACAGAAACGAGCACACATGGTGTCACACTACCCGATGTTTTGTCTCACTGGGTTAATGTCATAACGGAGTGTGACGGTCATACAGTGGTGTTCATAGTTCTGCATAAAGATCCTACTAAGCATTGTGGCAATCACAATATGAAGGTAGATGAGACCTCTAAGCTAAGTGAGACAGGGCACCAGGTATTACGGGCCTAAGTCATGGTATCGTGCCATAACAACTAATATAACATTCGATCTTTCCTCCTCTCTGCTATCCCCTTCATATGAAGTAAATAACAGTAAATATGAAAAGCACAACGGAAGTTGATACATGCTTCAACTTTAATGCAACTACTTTCCATCGATTATCCGAAGCTGGCCAGTGTCGGGACCTAAGATTGGTGAGCCTTTGCGTGAGAGTGGATTGCTCAGCTGCCAGCAGGAAGTGAGTGAGGATAGGGGGATGGAAGGTGCTGTCACAGCATTTATGGGATCCACTTTTTATCGAAGGAAAGGGAAATCTCTGAATATTAAAGTATCATGGCAGATGCGTGTGATAAAATATCCCTGTCCGATAGAGGATGCATTTTACAGGGCACCCCGACTACAAAGGCTCATGAAGCCACTAAGCTCGACAAGTATCACATCCACATTTGTATTTTCATGTTTTCTGCAATATGCAAGGACTCACAGTAAGCAGTAGACGCAGTATCTACGGTATCTACAAAAGTCGGATGATAATGGCAGAAGACATTGAAAATACATAAACACATTAGCATTCAATGACATGCATACTTTACCATTTATCAGATTTACAAAAGCAAACACTTTGCACTTGGAAAACTCTACAAGATGATTTATTATAGATGTAAACGTGTCTCCCTGTTGCACCTCCAATGGAGGCCCAAAGTCGGTGGTAGACACTCTCCATCCCCATGGGATTCATATCACTGGACTATGACTGCACGAGATACTCTACGCAAACACATTTTTTTCAGCGTATTGACTTAGGAGATATGTACTGAATGGATTCCAACCCAGGGTTTGAACTCTTCATTATTATTTAAGCTCTCCAACCACATCCCTATCAACTTATATACACCAGACATATGTAGGCAGTGCCTACAAAGACTTCAAATTTGGTTTGGATAACTGTTGAAATATCAAAGTAATTAGCGCAACCACCTGATATATATTTTAATGGATATACTATCCCTGACTTCCACCTTTGATACTTAATTTGTAAATGGTTGAACGTAACGTGTAGCTTTCCTGTACAGAATGAAGTCCAGAGGTCGTCCCTGCTTTTTCGAACGAGCATAAATCATCCCTTTGCACTGAGCCAGAATCACTTTCAAAATGTCTCTTTCACATGCCTCGTGTGTGCAAGGTCTCAGCTATAGTCACGTTCGAAGATGATGGTAATAAAAACAAATAAAAACGTCTACATAGTGACCTGTTCCCTGCCAAATGTAATAAATTATCTTCACGTGAAATTATGTTGAAGATTTAATAACAAAAACTACCTGCTAGGGGACAGCCAAAGAGCCGCATGCAATTCCAGAGGCGCTGCTTGCCTGCCCTTGAGCTAGCTAATGGGCATGGGTGTTTCTCAATACCCATACTGATTGCCTAACAACATCAAGGTATTGGTAAAGTATGAATACAGGCATTACATAATTGGCACCATCTTAACATCCAATGGGCATACCCTTAGATTCATACAGACAAGTCCACAACTGCTCATCTTCAATGTTGTGACCCTAAAAACACAGCTGATGCAAGGAAGTAAAGCACTTCAGAAATCGTTATGAATTTCTTGCAGCGGAGTGTTACGGTCATTAAATGGTTTTATCAGTTCTCCACCAGGTTTCTCCGAGTATGGCGCCCATAACAAGCCCCCAAATGTCCATTCAACCTGCATCGTGTGTGCAATATCTCACCTAGAATAGTCGACACTTCTAATGGTGATGAAAACATGTAAAATGAACAAATACAAATACACAGTTATGAATGAAGATTGCTTTGTGGAATATTCTCCATAATAACCTAATAATTCAAATGTATCCCTTGTACACAACTACACATTTCATTTGCCAAACATGCACGGAGCTAATTGTGTTAGGGTTTATGACGCTAGGGCAGGGGTCGGCAACCTTGGTTTTTGTGTTTAACCAAAATAGTTTGAGAGCCGCATGACACGTAGAGATACGTGTACACAAACACAGCAAGTATTTAGCAGATTACAAGGTCTGACTTGAATAGGTGATGGAATAAACTGCGTCTTTTGTTTTCTTCCTTAAGTTATTCTTTAACAATACAGTTTGACTGTACATTTGGTTGGCACCTAAGACATTCCGTAGTGACCCATTCACTGCCAAATTTAATCAATTATCTTTACGTTAAATACGTTCAATAGTTACATTTAAAAAATCTGCCTGCAAGGGGGCAGCCAAAGAGCCGCATGGGGGAAGCCAAAGGGCCGCATGCTGCCCACCCCTGAGCTAGGCAATCGGCATGGTTGTTTTCAATACCCGTGTTGATTACCTAATAACATCAAGGCATTGGTAAAGTATAATACAGGCATTAAAATGACTGCTACCATCTTAACAGCCGCGAAGTACACTACTGCTCCTTATCAATGTTGTTACCCTAAGAACATAGCTTATGCAAGAAAATAAAGCACTGCAGAAATCATCATTAGAATTTATTACAGCGGCGTCTTAATGTCATTTAATGGTTTTATTAGTTCTCCATCAGGTTTCTCCGAGTATGGCGCCCATAACAATCCTTGCTTCCAAATGTCCATTCAACCTGCATCGTGTGTGTAAGGTCTCACCTGGAGTAGTCGATACTTCTGATGGTGACGAAAACATGTGAAATGAACAATTAAAAACATACAGTTATCAATTAATTCTGCTTCATGGGATATTCTTCATAATTCCCTAATATTGCACATGTATGCCTTGTGCACAATTACACATTTCACTTGCCAAACATGCACAGAGCTAATTGTGTTCGGGTTTATGAAGCTATGGCAGGGGTCGGCAACCTTTCAAAGAAGAGCCGTTTTGGGGTTTTGTCTTTCACTAAAATAGTTTGAGAGCCGCATTACACGCAGAGATACTTGTACACAAATACAGCAAGTATATAGCAGATGACAAATTCTGACTTAAACTGCGTAAATGTTTTCCCCCTTAAGTGATTATTTAACAATACAGTTTGACTATACATTTTGTTAGCACCTAAGACATTCCATAGTGACTCATTTCCTGCCAAATTTAATCCATTATCTTTACGTTAAATTACGTTTAAGATTTTATTTAGAATAATCTGCCTGCAAGGGGCAGCCAAAGAGCCACAAGTGGGAAGCCAAAGAGCTGCAGGCTGCCCACCCCTGGGCGAGGCAATCGGCATGAGTGTTTTCAATAACCATGTTGATTGCCTAAAAACATGAAGGTATTGGTAGAGTATGAATACATGCATTATATGATTGGCACCATCTTAACATTCAATGGGCATACCCTTCAATTTACACGAAGTCCACTACCGCTCCCAGGGCCGGATTATGGCACGAGGCTTGAGGGGCTGCAGCCCAGGGGCCTCCACCAGCTGTAGCGGCCTCCAGAGATGAAGTGAAAAGTTGTTTCACTTGTGAATGCTGAATATTATTTTTTGTTAGCCTTGTAAAAGTAATTATATTTCTATTCAACTTTTGTTTTCCCGTTTAAAAATATTACTGGGGGCCTCACAGTAGCTGTAGCCCAGGGGCCTACAACATCTCAATCCGGCCCTGACTGCTCCTCTTCAATGTTGTTATCCTAAGAACATAGCTTATGCAAGGAATCTTGATTTGAAGCTTTCGCTGACTGCAGGAATCCATACTCTCTGGTTCTTTCGGTAAAGTCACGTAGATAGAAAAAATAATCAAAGAAAACACGACATTTTCGGTCGCAACACAAGCGACCGTCTTTGTTCTCACCTGAAGACGGCTGCTTGTGTTGCGACCGAAACGTCGTGTTTTCTTTTTATCAATGTTTCTATCTACATGACTTTACCGAAAGAACCTGAGAGTACTTATGCAATAAAATAAAGCACTGCATAACGCATCGTTATTAATTTCTTACAGCGAAATGTTACGGGCATTTAATAGGTTTTATTAGTTCTCCATCAGGTTTCTCCGAGTATGGCGCCCATAACAATCCTTGCTTCCAAATGTCCATTCAACCTGCATCGTGTGTGGAAGGTCTCACCTGGAGTAGTCGACACTTATGATGGTGATGAAAACATGTAAAATGAACAAATACAAATATACAGTTATCAATGAAGTCTGCTTTGTGGGACATTCTCCATAAATACCTAATAATTCAAATGTATCCCTTGTACACAACTACACATTTCATTTGCCAAACATGCGCGGAGCTAATTATGTTAGGGTTTATGACGCTAGGGCAGGGGTCGGCAACCTTGGTTTTTGTGTTTAACCAAAATAGTTTGAGAGCTGCATGTCACGTAGAGATACGTGTACACAAACACAGCAAGTATTTAGCAGATTACAAGTTCTGACTTGAATAGGTGATGGAATAAACTGCGTCTTTTGTTTTCTTCCTTAAGTTATTCTTTAACATTACAATTTGACTGTACATTTTGTTGGCACCAAGACATTCCGTAGTGACCCATTCCCTGCCAAATTTAATAAATTATCTTTACGTTAAATTACGTTCAATATTACACTTTAAAAATCTGCCTGCAAGGGAGCAGCCAAAGAGCCGCATTGAGGAAGCCAAAGAGCCGCAGGCTGCCCACCCCTGAGCTAGGCAATCGGCATGGTTGTTTTCAATACCCGTGTTGATTACCTAATAACATCAAGGCATTGGTAAAGTATGAATACAGGCATTAAAATGACTGCTACCTATCTTAACAGCTGCGAAGTACACTACTGCTCATTATCAATGTTGTTACCCTAAGAACATAGCTTATGCAAGGAAAGTACAGAATTGCAGAAATCATGATTAGGAATTTCTTACAGCGGAGTGTTTACAGTCATTAAATACTTGTATTAGTTCTCCATCAGTTTTCTCCGACTATTGCGCCCATAACAATCCCTGCTTCTAAATGTCCATTCAATCTGTATCATGTGTGGAAGGTCTCACCTGGATTAGTCAACACTTCTGATGGTGATGAAAACATGTAAAATGAACATAAAAATACGCAGTTATCAATGAAGTTTGCTTCGTGGGATATTCTTCGTAATTTTCTAATATTTTGAATGTATGTCCTCGTACACAACTACACATTTCACTTGCCAAACATGCGTGGAACTAATTGTGTTCGGGTTTATCAAGCTATGGCAGCGGTCAGCAACCTTTCAAAGAAGAGCCATGTTTTGTTTTTTGTCTTTCACCAAAATAGTTTGAGATCCACATCACACGCAGAGATACTTATACACAAACACAGCAGATATACATCAGATTACAAATTCTGACAAACAAAACAGGTGATGGATATCAACTGCGTCTAATTATTATTTTTTACCTTTTAACAATACAGTTTGGCTGTATATTGTTGGCACCAAGACATTCCATTGTGACTCCTTCCCTGCCAAATGTATTCAATTATATTTCGCTAAATTATGTTTAAGACTTAATTAACAAAACAATCTGTCTGCAAGGGGGCAGCCAGAGTCGCAAGAGGGAACCCAAAGAGCCACATGTGACTGCAGAGCCTCAGGATACCCACCCCTGAGCTTGCCAATCGGCATGGGTGTTTTCAATACCCACGTAGATTGCCTAATAACATGAAGGTATTGGTAAAGTAGGAATACAGGCATATATGACTGGCACCATCTTAACATTCAATGAGCATACCCTTAGTTTTACACGAAATCCACTACTGCTCCTCTTCAATGTTGTGACCCTAAGAACAGAGCTAATGCAAGGAAGTAATGTACAGCAGAAATAATCTTCATGCATTTATTACAGCGGAGTGTTACGGTGATTTCAATGGTTTTCATCAGTTCTGCAACGGGATCCTCTAAACATTGCGCAATCACAATGTAACGATGGATGATACATCTAAGCTAAGTAGGAGAGGGCACCAGGCATCGTGCCCAAACAACTGATAATATAATCAAGTGCAATAATTCCTCTCCGCTATCCCCTTCATTTTAAGTATGAAAGTAAAGATAAAAACCACAACAGAAGCTGATGCATGTACTCAACTTTTACTGGAACTACTTTGCTCCAACTATCAGAAGCTGGCCAGTGTAAGGACCTCAGACTGGTGAGCCTTTACGTGAGAGTGGATTGCTCAGCTGCCAGCATGAAATGAGTGTGAATGAGGGTAGGGGTTTGGAAGGTGCTGTCACGCCATTTTTAGGATGCACTTTCACAATATATTTTTATCTAAAGAAATGACTGCGGAGAGATATGCTGAATGGACTCTAATCCAGGATTATAACATCTATCATCCAGAAAAATCTAGGCATTGCCGACAAAAATTTAAAATTTGGTTTGGATAACTGTTAAATGTGAAAGTAATTAGTAGCACAACAACGTTATCGATATTTTTACGGTTAGACTATCCCTTATTTCCACTTGGATACTCAACCTGTGCCCCTTAAGTAGATAAATGAACCCCGAGTTTGTAAATGGTTGAACGTGTACCTGTTCTGTACAGAATTAAGTTCAGAAGTCGTCTCTGCTTTGTTTTAGCAAGCATCAATCATCCCGCTGCACGGAGCCAGAATCATTTTCTAAATGTCCATTTAACCTGCATTTTGTGTGTGGAGGTCTCACCTGAAGTAGTTGTCCCTTTTGAAGATAATGGTGATAAAAAATATGTAAAATGTAAAAAAACGCAGTTATCAATTAAGTCTGCTTTACGGGATATTCTTTATAATTATATATTACAAATGTTTATTTTGCACAACTACACATTTTATTTGGCAAACATAAACAGAGCTTCATATCTCATCGGTTTTCTTCAGGATAAATAAAGATTCTGATTCTGATACAGAGAGCCTTCGTGTTCGGGTTTATAAAGCTTGGCAATCGGTAATGGGTGTCTACAATACCCATATCGATTGCCTCATGCTGTAACACAAAGGTATGCATGTATGTTGGTAAAGTATTAATACAGTACACGTATTATACGACTGACACTATCTTGGCATCGCTCATAATTACACAGACAATTCCACTACTGCTCTTCATCAATGTTGTGACCCTCAGAACAAAGCTTATGCAAGGAAGTAAAGCACTGCAGAACTCGTCGTTGTGAATTTCTTACAGCGGAGTGTTATGGTGACAAAATTGTTTGATTTGTTCTGCAATGGGATGCTCTAAGCATTGCGGCAATCACGATGTGAAGGTGGATAAGACCTCTACGCTAATTAGGACAGGGCACCTGGGATTATGGGCCTAATGACATCGTGCTGAAGCAATTATGATTATCACATCGAATCCTTCCTTCTCTCTGATTTCCCTTTTATATGAAGTAAATGACTGTGCAGAGGAAAACCAAAACAGAACATCACTATCATTTCATCTTCCGTGCTCTTTAGACGAATGCGTAGACTAGTTCACACAAATCCACAGGTCGGCATCACTGTGAAAGGTATGTCCTTACCAACAGAAATGTGTGCAATGTCTCACCTTGTGCTTTTGTTGACGACGATAAAGGCGTTTGGAAGAGACAAATAAATGGTTAGTATATAACACGGACATTGATTGCATTGTTATTTCAAGTACATTCATGATAATCTAATACCAACAGCACGCAATAGTGACGATTGTTAAAACACATATACTTTAAATTGACGTCCCATCGTGTGCCACCATGATTTATTGCGACGACATATACATCTGCCGTCGTCCATCAGGAATATACGACCTGCTTTGTCATCATGACAGCCAAACGAAAAAAAAGAAGTTTAAACCGCCGACTACATTGACACATTCATGTGGCGGACACTATCCCTATAGCTGATAAGACAACCCCACCGAGGAAATCGCTAATGCTTGTAGGTTGTACGAGGCTTTAATTAAAATACCCGAACCGTGCAATGCACTACCTTTACTTGCTACCATTGCAAACAGCAGCGCACAGGCGAAGAGCCAGAGATTGCTGTTGGTCACCTTCCATCATCACCGTCTGTTATTTTAATCACGAGTAGTGATATTATTATTCTAAATGTTTTTTAATCTGTTAGAGCATTCTTCTTGGGCGACTTGTGGGTGCCACTTTGAAGGCGAACCCTTTTATAGCAGAGGTGTCTCTCGCTCCTCGCTCCTCATTCTACACGCCTCGTATTTTCATTATATTTAGTTTTTTCTGAAGTTGAAGGTCAAGTTTGAGAGTGGTGCTGTGTACGTGCATACGCGTATATTACGTAACACCTCACTGCCTATATAGTCAGTTTATCACCCTGTTTGCAGAGGAGGAAGTTGTTTTTCTTATCAGGGTTGTTTGCACCTTATGAAACTTGTACGGGTCAGTGTCCGATAAGATTGCCAAAGAAGGACACTGGTTATATTATATACGTTATGCCACCATTTCAGGTCTCAAGTCAAGTTTGGATTTTAAGCTAGACAGATATCCCCATGCTTTCTTTTTAACTAGACTTGCAACCTGCACGTCCTTTTCGGCGTGACCATCCGCCTGTCCATCCCTCCCTCCGGCCAGCCAGAGAGCAAAACTTTAAAGTGGCTATTCCCAGTAGAACTCATCCTTGCGACATTTTCGCCTCTGCAAGTCTGCTTGGAGACATTCGAGCCTTCGAGCCGAGAACTTCAAACAGAGATTTGTGCAATGTTGCTCTGTCAATGTCCCAATACCCTTGAACCCTTTGAGCTGTACAACTCTGCTCGGTCTGTGACCTGTGAACTTGTGACTTCAACTGCCAGGCTTGGGCCTGTGTCCGATACCTGTGAGCTTAGGATCACACCTCTGCTTCCAGGACTGTGCACTGGAGTTTGGACTATCATCCCTAGATGTCTACGCAGCATCACAGTGCATTACTTTTCTTCACTTATTTCTTCTGCTCTTGAACGGATTTACTGCAATACACTCGTCCTTGGACGGGCAAAAGGCTAGTCCCTAGATATTAAGACTGTGTTGATCTTGTTATAGCCTCACCAAGTATTTCGTATTTCGTTTAAGGTTGACCTTGTCTATTTGAATTGTGGGTACTTTCTACTTTGGGCGGGCTGAGTTTAATTTGTATTTTGCTGACCAACACTGTGTACCTAGCACAGATAATCAGATGTTCTGCATTGACAATTCAAAGGCATTTCATAAAACACATCAAGCCTGAGAAATAAGTAAACCCGTAAAAACAAAGTTTTTCACTATAAATCCTTTATATGCGTGGCAGCGAACTTAATATAAAAGATTTAAAAATATATTCGCCTGTGGAGGACGCGGGGATCGATCCCGCGACCTTTGGCATGGGAAGCGAGGGCGCTACCAACTGCGCTACTCCGCCACGGCCTGTGGAGGGGTTACGCTCTGGGCTCTTATACTGTGACGTTCAGCCAAAGCGATGAATGAGTTCTATTTGAATATATGTAAAATAAAAAATTTTTGCCTAAAAAGTTGCTCTGTCAATGCCCAATACCCTTGAACCCTTTGAGCTGTACAACTTTGCTCGGTCTGTGACCTGTGAACTTGTGACTTCAACTGCCAGGCTTGGGCCTGTGTCCGATACCTGTGAGCTTAGGATCACACCTCTGCTTCCAGGACTGTGCACTGGAGTTTGGACTATCATCCCTAGATGTCTACGCAGCATCACAGTGCATTACTTTTCTTCACTTATTTCTTCTGCTCTTGAACGGATTTACTGCAATACACTCGTCCTTGGACGGGCAAAAGGCTAGTCCCTAGATATTAAGACTGTGTTGATCTTGTTATAGCCTCACCAAGTATTTCGTATTTCGTTTAAGGTTGACCTTGTCTATTTGAATTGTGGGTACTTTCTACTTTGGGCGGGCTGAGTTTAATTTGTATTTTGCTGACCAACACTGTGTACCTAGCACAGATAATCAGATGTTCTGCATTGACAATTCAAAGGCATTTCATAAAACACATCAAGCCTGAGAAATAAGTAAACCCGTAAAAACAAAGTTTTTCACTATAAATCCTTTATATGCGTGGCAGCGAACTTAATATAAAAGATTTAAAAATATATTCGCCTGTGGAGGACGCGGGGATCGATCTCGCGACCTTTGGCATGGGAAGCGAGGGCGCTACCAACTGCGCTACTCCGCCACGGCCTGTGGAGGGGTTACGCTCTGGGCTCTTATACTGTGACGTTCAGCCAAAGCGATGAATGAGTTCTATTTGAATATATGTAAAATAAAAATTTTTTGCCTAAAAAGTGTAACATTTTGGGAATTTTTTTTCACGAACATTAATTGTCTGGCACAACGAGTCTGTGTGGAAAATGTCAGCTCGATTGGATCACGGGAAGTGGGTTAAAAAACGACCGAAAGATTTGCACGGTCGTAAGCAAGCAAGCAAGCACGCAAGCAAGCAAGCACGCAAGCAAGTGAAGTACCGGTGAGGACGCTTGACGCCGAGGTTGAGGCACACGTATGTTTATTCACAATATGACAGTGGGCATATACACACTCGAGGGGGTATCGGCCCCCTCACCCGTATAACTCGGGATACACCCCTAGCTAACTCTGTCCTAGCCCCGAATCCTCCACTAATGGGCTAGGGGAGGATAACTGGCCCGACACTGGTAAGTCGGGCCCGGTACCCGGAGTTCCAGACCAGCTCTTACAAGAGCACCGGCTCTGGCTTTCGGGACCACGCCGCTGGCTCAATCCTGTCCGGCCCTGAAAAGGACATCGAACCAGGGGAGTCCAGGGCTCTATCTAAGACGTCTTCAATCTTCTTCCCTTAGCTTAAACATAACTGCCTTGAGCCCTTTCAACATCCCCTTTTATACCCAACCCCTCCCTGAGGGGTGGGGCCCCGGGGGATCATAACGTTCGAACCAGCCCCCCCCAGGGTGTCTGGCTCGGACGTCGTAGAGGGCACTTGCTCGTGCACTTACGTAGCCCCGCCCACTGTGTTTGTTTTCCATAGGCTGCCATGCATAACGGGCCCTCTGTTTAACACCCCTACATCACCCCCCCCCCCCCCCCGCATAGCTTGCAGCCGTCCCGGCTGCCAACATACAAAAATGACAATAAAAGTGCATTTATACCTTGACCGCGCGTGTGCCTCACTATTTTTCAACAATGACAAGAACACAACAAAATGCAACAGCAAGAAGAGAAAACAACCCGACGCACCCCCCCTTGAATAAATACGAATTCCGTAAAAAAAACAACCTATATACAATTTGCAGGGAACCCACCATACACACAACACCAGGTGAACCCAACGTATGTACATTTCAATGGGCAGGGAACACACCACCCACACAACACACAATGAACACAACGTATGTACATTTCAATGGGCAGGGAACACACCACCCACACAACACACAATGAACCCAACATATGTACATTCACTGGGCAGGGAACACACCACCCACACAACACACGATGAACACAACCTATGTACACATCTTCCGGTCTCATAACAGTCTGCGCATTTTTGCGCGCGTCCTTGCAGCGGGCCCCTCACACGGGGTAACCCCGGGTGGCGGACCGTCAGGTGGCAATTGTCCGTCCCGGAGTGAGACCTCATCCGATGCCGCGCGACCGTCGGTATCCTCAGGAGGGGTGGTCGGGCGTGAGCCCGTCAGTCCTGATGCACCTGGAGGTGGCACGGCCGGCAAGGCATTAGGTGA